TCTCTTAGCTTTCTCACATCGTGTTGTTGTGCGTTTAATGACTATGTGAGTATGTCCACACCATTATATTGTGTAGTCCTGTCTTTAGCTTGCATTGTGTACTTAGCAGCATATGTTTGTAGTTCGTTTTCATCTCTTTGGAAACTTTCCTGCATGATCGCCATTAACCATGCGGTCCACTGCGGCCTTACGTCATGTAGCACACTTTAGCGCCCTCTGGTGGACATACTTTGTAATAACATCAAAACTGTATCCAGAGCCATTTCAAAGTGCAACAATGATAATTATTCATTTGATGTTGTGTTGTACGTTGTTTATAGTGTTTAATTTTATTCGTATAAACATTGTTAATGTATATGCATGTTGTGGTGTACTTTGTAGGCTTTATAATAATTCCAATGTTACATTTGTGTGTTCACAGATAACCACACACACACACACACACACACACGCTCTTGTTTCACGCATCCATCCCAACCTGTTCAAGCTGCAATAAACCTTTCATTCTACTACTCTGGGTCTGCTGCAGTCTTTCTTGCCGAAGACTTAGGCCGGACTTTTGGACCCCAGCATTCAAATACAATATAATCTTTTACACAAATTATGGAATTAATATGTATTTTTAAGAGACAACATAAACAACTTGGCACTTATGTATTTTTGCAGTGCAGCCCTAACAATAGCTACAGGATTTTTTTTGTAGTTACCACAATGTAAAAAGCATGTCGACACCTTTCATTTCACCCTTCTCTATCGCTGTGATGTGAAAAAAAAGTCAATTATAAAATCATTTTAAAACCGGCGGGATAGAAAGGCAGTCCCTTATATACCTGTGAAGGAGCTCTCTCTTAGCAATAATGTTTCGTCAACTCCTCATTTTAACATACATTTTCTGTCTACTGTCTATTCTTTTATGTCAAATATAAGTTAAAAAGAAAGAAAAGCTAAACACCTACAAAACAAACAGGTAAGATTCTCTAATTTGACTATAGTGTTCGTTGCAACCAGCCCTCAGTCACATCTAGAGCCAGTCCTGCGATTTGCAAACTTATAGCTTCCATTTGTCCCATTTTTTTATTCTCAAATTTGCCGCGTTTCAGTCTGAGAGCAAAGGTCGTCTTCCCCAGATCGCCCGGGTGGCTCAGGCTTATGCTTTCCACCTGTCATGGCCATACTTTTACACGTTATCTTTAGCTTTTCATTTGTAAACAACTGCTGCACTTTAAAAGCCCTCGAATAGACAAGTATTAGAAGTGTACGTTACAATTTTATATTTCACTTTCCATGGTACTGATCTTTAGCTTGGTTTGTATTATTTTCAATCTTCAGACAATCCTCACGCAGGTTAATTTAGCGGATGTGTTGTTTTTCTGAACCTAAATGTGACCTTTACATGAGCCTGTATTATAGTATTTATTTATGTATTTTAGAGACAGTTTCCTTGGTAACGTGTGGAAGTGGTCAATGTTCAGTGAATGTGAATTTTATCTTCTTGTTTCTTTTTAATATTTATTGTCCAGTTGCTCTTAAACTGTTACATTTAACGAAAACTTAAACACGCGGATGTTTTTACCAAATTGTAATCCGACCTGGTTTTAATAAATTGAAAATCAGGAAAAGTATTATTTCAAGATGGTAATCTGTTTATTTCAACCTGGAAAACACTATTTGCATGGAATATGAATAAATGTGCCTTTCAAGTAACCTTAAATACATTTAATTTACATTTCACAGCTTAAAGCCGGGGTACCTGACATGTTTGTCTCAATAAAAAGTAAAGTGATAGAACCGAACAAGTTAAGATGGATTTCTATAACATAAATTGTTTTTCTGGTTTTAAAGTTATACCCCTGCTTTTAGTTTCACCATTTACAAACAAAAATGTCTTTGAAGGATTGGAATTCTTGGAAGTTCTCTAAACCACTAATTATTAACATTTAAAAGCTCAAAAGTGTTGCACTGACAAACCGACATCTGCTTTTGTGATTTTCAGATCCTGTATTTTAACACTACTGGCTTTGTTTGGACGGTGCTAGAGATTGTGGATTGCTTTCAAAGCCTTAAAGTTATTAATTTCCTTCTGAATTGGAATACAAATAGAACTAGTATTTGTTATTCATGGGCACATTTCACTTAGCAGTAATTTGAAGTTCCCTCCCTCCAAACTGAAGCTTCCCATTACCCACAGAGCATAGAACCTAGATTTATTTTTGTGTTATTGAAATCCTCAGTAAAAGAATGACTCATTTGCATTCCAATCTATAAAGACTATGAACTTCGACAACACGCATTGTATACTTTTATTGCAATGATAAGATACATATATATTTCCAGACATCCAAGTTTTATTAAATTATGCATGAGACAGTCTTCAGAAGAGGAAACCTAGAGCGACTAGGCAATCAGAAAGACGGACATAATATAACATTTGTACAATAGTTTCCAGAAGTGTGCAGTGAAAGCAGCAGCATAAAGAGTTTAATACTACGACATAGACATGGAGCCACACTGTGCGACGAACCACCGACAAGGAGCCTCCTCTGAAATGTGTAACCAGTTTAAATCTCATTTTTAAAGTGGCTTCAAAGATGTATTGGTGGTGTGAAGTAATGACGTTAGAAGATATGCTCCTGATCCTGTTGTTTACAAACAACCAAAACAAGAACTATCCAATTATATGGAATTATGTCTAAACCTTTGCACGGTTTTTTGTTGTTGCCATGATGTAAAACTACCTGCACTACAGTGGCTCCCAACCTGTGTACCCTCTCGCCTGTGTAGACTGGGCAAAAGTACCCCATTGTAAAAGGGGAAAACATTATACCCCAGGAGTCAAACATGGAGCCATTATTATTACACCGTTATAACCAGTATAACAACTTTCCACTTTATTTTGTGGAAAGCTTATAACTATCTTTTTGAACAATTTGATTGTGTCTGGGTTCAATGTTTAGGCTAAAATACAAAAAAATGGTTGTGCTCATGGGGAAAATAGCATTAAATATATGTATATCATTATGACATGACATAGTAGCCCAATCATACCTTTTTTATTACCAATGTTTGCTAGTTTTGAAAATCATCACGCTGCAATATCCCTCCATACTCCTAGGGGTCTGCATACCACCGGTTGGGAAACGTCTTTTTGCATCTGAAATCCTCTCGCTTGAAAATATTTATTTTTTTCCCCCTTTGTCAAATCAGGGAAAATGTGTGACTTGTGGTTGTAATCTTATGGCTGTTTAAATACTGGATGAGAAACAGGACAGAAGTGGCCAGTGTTTCAAAAAGAGACGTTTTTGTGAATGGCATAAAAGGCAAATATTGACCACAGCACGATTAGCAAAGACAACAAAATACATTTAAATCAATTTTAAAAAAGAAAGCCGGCTAATTCTATGCTTACACAGAAATTCATGACATGGAGAAGATACAAAACAAAATGAAAGATGGAGAGTAAAGTGAGCGGTTAATGCATAGGGAAGAAAAGATATAGAAACTTTTAATACAATTCATATATAAATGATCCATTTCTTTATGTTTAGACTTAAATAAGCTCCTGTTTAGGGATAAAAACTTTGAGAATTGACAGTTTAAAAGTATTTGGAATTGGCTCACATTCAGTTGATTCCATTCCAATTCTCAAGGCTAATGCTAAGGTTTATAGCAGTGAAAATTAAATACCATTGTTTTGTAGTAATAGATCAAACTTGCTCAAAATATTTGCCCAAGTCTTGTATATCATAAAAAATGTGTATATAAATAAATCCCAACAATTTCTTCTGCTCTGTAACATAAGTTTTTGGCACTACGATGTGATAAATCAGTTTTTGCCTTTTTTTCACCTCAAAACCATCAGCTGTGTCTCTCTATTCTGGCGCTAAGCAACAGTGACTGATCCGAGCTGAAACATTCGGGGATAAAGCGGCTGGTCAGGATGGAGTCGAGTTTATAAATACAAGTTTTTGGTCCATATGGTTGAGAGAGGGTACAAACAGCTGAAAATGACCATTACCTAATCCCCTTCCACAAACCGAAGCTACTGGAAATCAAAATGGCCCCCTTCATGCCCGACAACGCAGCGTTTTACATGCGCCATTTTAACACGAGAATAACCTGTAATCTGAGCTCATTACAAAAGGCTGCGCTCACATCCCCACATCAATGAGTCTATAGAATGTTTGCATAAATTAGATATTTTTGAGGCATAGTTAAAAATGTTAGCTGTGTCTTGCTTAAATATTATGATGCCAACTTCTGCTAAACAACTACAGTTATTATGAAGAAATATTCAAAAAGAACAAAGCTTGGTCACGGTTTGTTTTGAAGACTAAAAATGCTGTTCAGCCATGAGCTCATGAAATTCACTTTTATCGGCAAAGTGGACGACAGCAAAGTAGACTCAGCCATCTCTCCGCTGTTTTACCACAGCTTTGGCCGGTGTTTCACTGTAAAACAAGCTACAGATTGTGGCTTTTTTGTAAATCCCTCAATTCACAATTACGTATCGAGATTTGAGCTGGGACAGGACGACGTGAAACTCGGGGGGCCCTTTATGGGATGGATGAATTAAGAAATAAGCAGGAGTAAACTAATGAGACACCATTAGAACATGGTTGAAATCTCGATGCTGATTTTATGTACCTCCCCTTTAAAAAAAAAAAAAGAGAAGACTAACGCTCGCTGCTGCAGATCTGAAAGGGGCCACCCAGTTTTCTGTGGACTTATTTAGCACAAACTGATAAACGTTGAACGAGAAAACAAAAGTTAAATGCGTTTGATTTCCGTCTAGCGGGTTTGCAAACACACACACACGTCCTGTGGCAGTTTTAAATAACATCTTGGCGTCTAAACCAAAATAAGGCTTTTTCTTCTTTTTTATCTCAGAGTGGAGGTGTACAAGCTTCCCGTTATGGCATTGACTTTACACTGGGCTCTCGCGTTTCGTGGATCTTCTTGTAAATGTCGTGAAGGGGGCGGGCACAGAAGAAGGTTAAAGTTTATGATTGACACGTCGTCTTCGTCTCTTCGTCCTCCTCCTCCTCCTCGTCCTCCTCCGCTTCCTCCTCCGTGTGCTGCTCGAGCTCCTCTCTGGTGATCATCTCAAAGTCGTTGCCGTTGCTGTGCTGCGAGCCCTCGTCTTCCCGCCGGTCGCTGTCCGTGTCCGACTGCCGCTCTGGCCCCTCTTCCTTGGGCTCCTCCTCTTCGTCGTCGTCTTCGTCGTCCTTCTTCTCACTGTCTGACTTGTCGCTGTCGGACTTGGGGGCGAGGGCGGCGGAGGAGGGGGAGCTGCAGGAGGCCTTGTCATCTTCGCTCTTGTCTTGGGCGGCCTTCTTGGAGGAGGAGGACTTGGGGCCCTTGTACTCGTGAGTGTACAGGGGTCTGAAGGAGTCGATGAAGCCCACGTCGGCGGTCAGGTTTGGGAGGAACCAGAAGTGATGACGTCCGCCCGAGAAGAGCCAGATGAAGAGGAAGAGGATGCAGCGAGCTGCAAAGACCCAAAGAGCAGTGTCATTTACAGTATTGTACATTCTATACTAAAGGGGGAGCTAAAAGAAAGTGAACATGGATTTTGCATTTTGATAAATTAAATATATTCAAATCCATTTATAATTTAGATTTTTTTTTATCTTTTAAATAAAATGTATAGATTATGTTTTGATATTTTTACTTCAGAAACAATCTTGGCACCTTTTCTCCCTTGATTTGTGGCTTGTGCTTTTTGTCCTGTTATTTTTGCATATTAGTTTTCTAGGTATGTTTTAATGGTAATGTTTTGGTAACCTACTTTTACTTTGTTCACTTGTGGCTCTTTCTGCACAGACATGAAATCCAGCACTAAAATGTATACTTTCGTCAAAGTAGAGTTTGGAATATGCAAGTATTCTTCATGGAGTGTCATTTTCTATGGAAAAACCTGAACCAGACCATGTTTTGTGGCCCATGGATCAAATCTGGGAAAATCCATGTTTATTTACAGCATTAGAACAAACTTACAAAGTGTGCAATATGACTCGACCAATCTTGGAGCTGCCCTAGCTCATAAAAGGTCTATTTTAAACCACAACAATGTACAGCACACTTGTGGAATTGAACAAAGTAAAGTTGGTGTGTGTGTACCTGTACAGTAGTAGTATGATAATTATGATTACTGTAATTAACTTTTTTTTAAGGTTGTGGATTGGGGATTTTGCTATATCTTTAATCATATGGTTCTTTTGTTAATAGGGTTACAACATGTCAATGATAACATGTTTTGTGACTGAAGAATAAATAATGTCTTTGATTCACCAGGTCTGCGCCAAGTTATGACTAGATCCGTTGGGTTTTAGCGTGAAATTTTTTTGCCATATATTTTATAAAACAGAACTGTGTAGTTTAAGTCGTGACGAAAAGTTACAGCTTTTGAATCAAAGACATTTTCAAACTATCAAACCCACAGAGCACCGCGGCAGCTCAAGCCAAAAATGTATCCTTGGGAATCACATATTGGTCTCACTCTGGCTCCTCGACTTCTCAAAACAGATTCCAGCTTTACTCAGGGCACGGTGTTATTTTGAATGGACTTACACTACATTTACTTAATAGAGGGAAGATAGTTTGTAGTAAACATTAGCAGTAATGACAACATTGTAAAAATAATTAGGGCTGTCCAAAATAGCGCGTTATTAACGCGTTAACGCAAATCAATATTAACGCCGTCATTTTTTTTATCGCGCGATGTAAAAAAAAAAAAAAAATTTTTTTTTTTTTTTTTTTTTACTTTTTATTGCAGACAAACACATAGAAACAAAGAAAAGGACTAGTTCAGATACATTGTAGACAGAGATTACAAACAATATGTAGTTGGAGATACAGGGGGCCAAAGAAGAAACCCAGAAGGGCACATAGGAGGGGAGGGACATGAAGTGGGAGATGGGGGGAGGGGTTAATAAAAAAGGCAATACAAGCAAACAGTATACAGTCATAGATATACCGAAGGTAAACAGAGAAACAGCATAGAGTATTTACATGAACAAATTTACAAAATATTTACAGATTGTTTATCATCATCATAATGACACCATGATGTTTCTATACAGTCTATGGTCTATACCCACACATACACACACACACACCCACACACACACATTGAAGGGGCTTTTTGTTACCAATTATTTATTTTGTCATCCATTTATTGATGATTTTGCATCAAATGTTAGTGTGTAATATAACACTACACATTGTTTTCAATAAAAAAAGCAATTGCACACAGCACGCAAATGTGTGACTAATTTGCGATTAATCGCGAGTTAACTATGAAATTCATGCGATTAATCGCGATTAAATATTTTAATCGTTGGACAGCACTAAAAATAATATGTAGTATGCTGAAGCAAATAATGAATCATTTGACATTTTTTCCGGAGCAAAACGCAAATGGTGATGTTTGAATAGATACGACTGGACCAAAAGGTAAAGATGGCGGGGTATTGTAGATTGGCTTAAGAGATTCAAATGGTGTATGGGGAATCCTCAAATGTGAAACTAATATATAGAAATGCAAAGTGACAGTAGCCAGGCGAGACTGTGAGACAATTATAAACCTTATAATAAAGGCTTGATGCATCTCCCTTTGCGAGAGATCACTTGAATTCCAGAAGAAAATATAATTGTATTTTGGCTTCATTTAGCGGAAAGCTTCAAAAATGATGACAGAAGTACAGCAGCTGGATGGTCGTGCGTTAAGGTAGATATATATCGGTCGATCCACTCACCGACAGCGAGCAGTAATATACTGGCCACGAAGCATCCGGCTGCAACGCTGAGGTAATAAACTCCCACTCTCATCTCGGCCGGCCACAGAGGGAACAGGGTCGCTGCTATCACCGCGATCACTGTCAGGACAAAGACACCGCAGGAATAACGGATTAAAAAAAACATTTATTAAAACCATAGACAAAAATACAAAAAGCCTCACATTTGTTTCGTTCACACCTTAATGTGTTTCTCTAGTACACACAAAAATGTCTCTGCTGGTTTAAGAAAAGATCGAGGCAATATATCTCTGCTTGTACTGACAATCCTTATATCTATTAGACTTTCTATTTAGGTTAGGCGTAGACTTGACTGACAGAATTGACTTTAAAAAGGACTTGGGACTTCACGGTCACCGACTTGACATGACTTAAATAGAAAAACAACATTAAATAAATAACTGGAACTCTTTCATAATTGTGACGTACAATAGCGGCACAATATTGGAAATAAGTGCCATATGCGTGAAATGTGTCAAGCACCTGCAATAACGAGATATACAAAGGGTATATTCCTTCTCCAAAAAACTCCATATGCACTCAATATATAAGGAACATGTCGGTGCAGTGCAGGAGTCACTTCTCCACCATTTTGTTATTTTCAGCCACTTGACTGTGTGGACTCTCAGGGCAAATCTCCAAGCATGGAAAACACCACATAGATCTATTCATAAAATGATTGCACACCAAGATCAATATAACAAACGATTTGTTTCTGGTATTTTGTGGAGCTCTAATGCATTCATGGCCTAAACGGTACAATGGGAATGAATGTAATGAGAGAATAGATTGAGACGGTTGTGGACCCTGGTCAGTAAATTGCGCTATATAATTAAAGATTACTCGGACTAAAATGGTACTAGTAACTATATTTGTAAGAAGACATGAACTCCAAAGTAAAGAGTGAGGAATTAAAAATAAAAAAAAAACACATGGTCCCAGTTTTTAACATAAAAACTCACCAAGAATGAGTCCCATGGCGAAGGTCTTAAAATGCACTGGGTCATATATCCACACGTACACCTGCAAACAAGAACAGATCCTTTTTATTCACTTCATCATTCACTTCTTCATTGGTAAAAAAAACACACACAAAAAAACAACTGCACTGACTTCATTTCCGTCCAGGAAAAGTTGGTCATCGTGCAGCTCAAGTTTAAACTTCTTTTTAGTTTCCTTCTTCTTCTTAGGCGTCCCAGGGCTGTCCTCCTGCAGAGATGAAAGACCAGGTTAGAAACAGAGATATAAAGTAGATTTTAAACAAAGGCACAAAGTGAGGACTAAACGACGAGGGGCGAGGGGACGCACAATGCAGAGTCTGAAAGATTGTGTCTTAACATCATAATACCACACGGCTAAAAATACATTGCACTAGAGTCAAAGTACTGCGATATTTAATTACATTATCTTTTCCACTAGTCATGAGACAGGTTAGTGTTACTCTACAGTTATTACAATAGTGTCTGAGTTTACACAGATTAAACATGTTACTCTTTTGCTTTTTGTGACTCTAGTCTATTGTATTTGAATAATTTAAACTTTGCGGGACATGAATTGCAATACAATACCCGGAATCAAATAGCAACACTATTCAGAATCGCATTCATATTCTGGCCCAAACATCACCATACAATTGAATAGTCACATTTTTGCCATGGTCAACCCCACTCATGAATAAATATATAAGTATCTTTGTCCTCTAAACTGTCAAGAACATGTTTTAACAGAGGATTAAAACATTGATCAACTGTAGTTTGCATTGGAACCCAGTGGCAATGGTAAAAAATAATTTACATTCACAGTTCCTTATTTAATCACTGAACCTGACATTAAAGCAATGAATTTGACTAATTATCCTCATATGAAAAGTCCCCTGACCTCAGTCCCAGGTGAGATTAGACCTGAGGGGAACTAGTTTTTATGCAGTATAATGTGTAGATCCTCACAGTCTTGTCTTTGTCTTTGTCCTTCTTCTCCTCCGGCTCCTTCTTTTTGTCCTTCTTACTGCTCTTCTTCTCCTCCTCTTTGCCGCTGTCTCCTTTCACTTTCTCCTTTTCCTTCTCTTTCTTCACATTCTTCTCTGGCTTTTTCTTCATCACTTTAAGAGCTCGATGGAAAAACTGCTTCTTTAGGAGTCTGTAGGATTGACATGAAACAGGCGATTTCATTATTATATTGAGGGTGAGATTAAATACATATTTTTTTCATTACTTGACTGTTATGAAAGTAGATTTTTATGACAACCAGACTGTACATAGATGAACAATGCCAACTGTCGAACCCCAGCTCAATGAAGGCCATAAGGGAAGTGCTCATGGACACAGTTTTGCTCCAACTCTATTTGACAATATTTAAAACCAGGATGAAAACAGTTCCGTTTAGCTGTGCATACAACTGAGGGATTTAATGTTTTTATCATTCTTTTTGATGTACTGTGATTATTTATGAGTTTGAGTTGTCATGTGTATGAATTGTGCTATAAAAATAAAATTGCCTTGCCTATTTGGCTCCAATCGACTTACATTGAAAATTAAACTCCTTGAGCTCAGTAACCGTTTGTGCCACTTGCAATTTTAGGCTTAAGAACTCAAAGTACTCTCTATCCCGGTGTTCCCATTTTGATATTGTCCTTGGAAATCCAAATATGGGTTCGAGAGATTCTTCCACTCCCCTTTTTAGTTCTGACCAATTAAATCGACCATCTTTAGTCGTATCAGCTGTATTTTTGTACAGCCCTAAATCACATCAGCGGTTGTCTTGGAGGACTTAACAAACAGATCAGAGAATGCAGGAAATACTACAGTAAGAGTACATTATCATAGTACATCATCGGTAAAATGTGCCATACAACATAAACCTCATTATTCATACAGCACATTTAACCTTTCTATCGACTAACCTTTTACAAATATCAATTGAAACAAAAATACAATATATAAATGAATAATGTAACGTTTTTGAAGCGCCATGCATCCAGCCCGTGTATCTCCATGTAGACTTTTGGCTTTCAGTCTTTCTCTCTCCACCTGTTGCAGTAGTCGACCACAGAGTCCCTGGTGGTGAACACTGCCTCTTCTCCCTTCTTGGCTTTGGCCCATTTGGAGTCCATCAGACAGTCAACCGCTTTGGAGGCTGCAGGTTGAAACAGAGTGAAAGTTTATGATGTTAATAAACTTTTATGTCACGCCATGTGAGTAACAAGAAGTCAAAAACTAGGAAATTGCTTTGGCTCTCGGTGCAAACAAGTTAAAGCAGAATAAAAAAAATCAAGAAGGCATGCATAAATATAATAATACGTTTCTTCAGTTTACTATGTACACAAACAATTGACCGTTACGAGTGCGGTTGAGTGCAAAACAAACGAATAATCTCAGTTGCAGTTCCATCTCTGAGTCACACTAATACAGACGACACACAAACGGAGTACTGTCCGTGGGTGTAATAATAAATATGAAGATTTCCTCCCACAGCTGCTGAGCACACAAACTCAACCTTTTGTGCTACGGGACAAAGATAAAACCAATAACACACGTGAACTGGTGAGAGCACACCGCTAAGAGTCGTTCCGGATATAGTTTCATTTATTCACTTGCTCATGAATACTACCATAATATATAATATATACATATATACTATATATATATATATATATATATATATATATATATATATATAAATATATAAATAAAATATATAATATATATAATATATATATATATATATAATATATATAATATATATATATAATATAATATAATATATATGTATGTAGATAATTTCTATATATATATATATATACACGTAGATAATTTCTGGTGGAAATCCCATAGAAATGTAATAGTCAAAACCATACTATGAGACATTGAAAACACAGTTTGTTTTACTGTGGAAGAAAACCATGGAAACAAGAGAAATCCAGATGTGTGGAAATGCAAGCCCATCTTTTTTTGTAAATACTGAACAATCCTCTCTCCAATGGTCCAGTTTTAATTGTGATGCCCGACTTCGACCATTTGTCTCCTGTGCAAAAAATACTGTTCTGCTCTGATTTTTAGGTTGCAGCGTCACTGGTTGCACCTCTGCCCAGCCAGACACTTATCACTGCAGGACTTGAGTGTACAGTGGAAATCATGTTATCAGCGGGCTTCTTTATCACACTGATGCAGCTGATGAGGGAAAACAACAGGGTTTTCGAAGTACATGTGAATGCACAAATCAACCGTAGTTAATAGCTGTATGAACAGGCTCACTTCATATGGGACACATCTGACACAGGAACGTCCTGTGGTGGCAACTGCTCAAATACTGGATTAAATGCCTTCTGGATGGAAAACAGGCCCAATGCTGCATCGACATGCTTCAGATAATGATTGTGCTCTGCTTCGTCTCTGTGGAGACGTGGTGCAGACAGACCACTTGGATCCACTCTTCATGCTGCTCAACGAAACGCATGTGTAACGGATGTGAGCAGCCAGTGGAGTCTAGGCCTTCATCGTTTAGGAGTCTGTCTGTATCTGGTCTCTGCATAAAGAACAAGGAGAGAGAGAGGGAGTTACCGATGAAGTAGTCCACACGGTGGCCCATCATGGTGGTGGACTTGGTCGGACAGTTGAAACGAAGGTATTTTGCCACAGCCTTCTCCTCCTTCGTTGGTTCACTCACCTCCTAAAGGAAAAACAAGACAGAAAATACATTATCATCTGCGGTCTTCACATATATATTGATTAATTCTCTTACAAATAACTAAATACTGAAATAGTTAGGGTTAGACTAATTTAGTCATTGAATAGATCCCGCTTTATTCACCAACATGAGATGTAAAACAAGAGGTTTAACTACAGAATGTTTTTTTTTTTTAAATACTACATTCACAGACCTTGTTGGAGTCTAAACAACACATTGGTTAAATCAAAATAATTGGCATAATCAATTAACAAATTAATTGTTAATTTACAGCCACTCAATTCCAGATCGAGTGGGTGTTAAATTAGAAGATATCTTTAATGTTCATGAAATCCAAACATTGACTTGCGTCTAATGAACATGACATTCTGGTCAATCATGATCTAAATGTTTATGGACTGGCTTCACATCATCATCACTACCAATTAAAACTATTATTCTTTATTTTACTATAAAAAAACTGTAATTTGAACGCACCCACAATCCACCACTTACCAATTACTTCTGTCACCAAAGTAGCAGTAATCCTTTTCAGCCATTTCTGTATAGCAAACACGGCTTCTCACAATCATCTTCTCAAACCATTTACAGTATATTAATTATTTGAATAATTTAATTTAGTTACAAACATCTAAGATACCAGGGTTTTGAGACTATTATTCAACAAATACAGAGACAATTGCACTGTCCAAAAGGGGCTCAGTATTTGGGATTTCAATCGAAACCAATCACCACCACCGCATCAACAGCAGCAGATTCTGTCAGCTTCAACATTTACAAGCTCAAATCCTGCAGCTGAAAGAGACAGTGTTTCTTTCTCATATCCAATACAGCTCTATGTAACGTGAGGACAATGTGGCATCAAACACACCTTTGTTTAAGATGGGGCTGGACAGTCAACAGACCATTTGATACACCTGCGCTGTTCCAGGATTAACCTCATGTGAATTCAACACTGGGGTGGTCCACAACACAATTACACTAGTTTAAACAGTCTGAGGTAAGAGTGCTGAAATGGAGGCCCCTGTACAGTCTGTGTTATAGCAAAGATAAGGGGCAGTGGAATCATTATGTAACAGGTTCAAAATGCACAAGAGCTGTTCAGTGGAGACGTGGTTTGCCTCATATTTTGACTGATAGTGTAATTACAAGGTCGGTGCAGTTACAAATGACACCTTAACTCCTGGTTGGAATCTATTCGTACAAAATGTTCCTGAAAATCACTAAAGACAATTCAGATCTGATGACAACAATCATTAAAATCTTATGGAGTAACAAAGCAGGGATGATCACGTGTATATGTACCAAACAGAAGTGTGTCCTGTGCTCAATCTACATTGGACTGAAGTAAAACAGACTTTCAACGGTCTGTACGGGAACACAATGTAAACCATTTTTCCTGTTGGTAACTAATGAAACTACGTCTAATTGCTGCGTGTTATGTAAATAGCAAGTACTGGCGCAGCTTAGATAAATTAGCAGACCTTTAAATACAAGCTATTGTGTCTAAATCACACAGGCACATTTCCCTCTGACGGGCAGATCGAAGTGGAGGTGTGTGCTCTCCTCCAGAGGAACAGGCTGTTCTGACCACACACGTCTCCAAACCTGAACACACACATTTGTTGTGCCTTGAGCTAGCGGTAGCCGCTGTTAGCATCATCACTTCATGAGGAGCCTGGAGGACTGTGTGAGGACTGTGTGAGGGACTGCCCCTTCACACAGCCTCTGCTCTGGGCTCAAGCTCTCACATAGCCCCGTGGGCCCGGATACACACTGGTTTATGTGGTGAAAAAGAGTTACCTGGACCCGTTTCTTGTGCCTCCTGCGCTCCGCCATGATCCTCCAACTCAGCTCTCACGAGCACGCGCCTGCGCAAGGTACAGAGCTTCTTCTTCTTCTTTGACTGCAGTGTGCAGCTGTGGTGCAGCTACTGCCACGGACTTTGCTGGAGTCTGATGAGCAGCTGGAGTTACATTCTAGGAGTAGCTACATGACAGGCTATCCCCATGAGTCCAATACGTCCCCCCAGTCTATTTTTTGTTAAGACTTGAAATAATGACAGGATGGCAGACGAGGCCACTGTCGGCAGTCCTGTCATCGGGGCCATCATTTCGTTTTGTCTGTGAATGCATTTGTGACGCTAAATAAAAGTTTCGTTGCGACAAATATTGTTGTATAACGTAATCACTAAGCATTGAAAAAACGTTTTAAAAAATACTTATATACAATCAGCGCATGCGCTAAAAGGCAACTTCCGGACAATTCAGCGTCAGGAGGTTTTCCCGGCGTCCCTCTCGTGTGCCTGATCCACATATAGGTCTATGATCCAAACATCCATAAATCACTCTCTGATATTTCTGCGTTTTCAGGTAAAAGATGTCCCTCATTTTTTCCAGTGTGTATTAACTACCTCTTGTACTACTGCTACGTAAGACGTTTCCCATTGTATATATTTGTTTAGTGAGCCTAATTAAGCAAATAATTAGTTGTTTGCCTATTTACGTCTAAGTAGAGGGTTTCATTGAATTATTGGTCTGTCGTCCACAGCTTAGGTAAATAGTCACATTTTGTTTATTTTTTTAACCTATTTTTCAATTTTCAATTTCGAGTCACAATCTGGTTAAAGCGGTAACAGTTAAAATGTTGTGGATCAAGCAAGCGGGGGAAATGTACAGTATACCAGTATTTTAGGGACTCCTACTGCACATCTAACACCGCCATGTCATGCACACAAACTGCGAAATATGGCTTAGCCACGCTTATATATTTTTATTTTTTGTAATTTAATTTCCTCTAGTGTGATATTGGTAGTAAACGCCTAGAATAAAATCACGTTTTATTTTTTCATGATGTGGGGAGCCAGTGGAGTTCTTCTTGTACACAGCATTACTGTTGTCCTTCGAGACCTGTTGAAACTATTGTATTTCTCTCCACAGATGGGAATGAGCCCGGAGGTTCAACACAAGAGCAGCAGTTTGTATTCAGACCAAGTGAAGATCAGAGAGGAACCTAAAAAAGACTTATTTCAAGGGCCGGACATGGTTCTCCAGGAGGAACATTTAGACACTCCTCATTCCACACAAGAACAGGATTGTGGGCTCGGACCAGGTGATGATGGAGTGACCATCAAAGAGGAACCCGGAGAACACTTGGTTCAGGAGGAACTTTTAAAGACTGTTTGCAGCCCACCCCCTCCAGGCTCAGACGCGTGGCGGCACCTTTGCAATGTTTGTGGAAAAGGATTCCAACTGAAGGGTAATCTCACAGTGCACAAACGGGTCCACACTGGAGAAAGACCCTATCACTGCAGCATTTGTGAACAGTCCTTTAGACACATCAGTCATCTTAAGAACCACATGCGAGTCCACACTGGAGAAAAACCGTATTCCTGTGCCTTTTGTGAAATGTCTTTTAATCAAAGAACTCACCTGGTTTCCCACCAACGGGTCCACACAGGAGAAAAACCCTATCAGTGTAGCGTTTGTGAAAAGTCCTTCCGTGTAAGCCAAGCTCTTCGGAGTCACACCCGCACCCATACTGGAGAAAAAAACTATCTCTGTGACGTCTGTGAACAGCCATTCAGAACCAGGGGTGAGGTGAACCGACACAGGCGCATTCATGGTCTAACGGAATGATTGGACTGCAATAACTTTATTATTTATCGTGTTTATGCCAGACGACTATACTTTTCAAATTAAGCAATCGCAGCATGTCATTGTGGCGATGGGTTAACGAAACAATCTGACTTTTGCAGTATGATTTAGTTGACGATTGCGTTAGCATGTCAAGCTAACATTGGTTGGATATCTCTCTAATGTTGTGTAGAAGTTGATTATAGGTTCCATTCCCGACGTTGTATACCAGCAGCCTGGGAATGTCTATGCTGCAGTGTGCGCATGGACATTTTTTGCTTTGAATTTGGAGACCAATCAGAGGGACAAATAAGCGATGATGCCCTTTTCGACAAACAGAAGCTTTTAGTTTGTTTATGGGTCCAACATGATGGCAGTAGACCGAGATATTTTTTGATCAAGCTTTAGACCAGGAGTGTCAAACCGTTCCGCAAAAGGATTTAACCCTTTTAGTGCCAAAGTAGCAGAATTGCTACTCAAGCTCTTCTATAAAGCGACTTGGTTTCCCACATACATCATTTTCTTCTTTGTAATGTCTGTTAATGATGAAAGTAGTTATCAATGTACAGTATATTTCTTATATATTTCTGTATACGTCACCTTTTTCTCCTTCACAATACATTTCTGAAAACAATTTATGGCGCCTAAAGGGTTAATACCAACCAAGCAGCAGCACACCAGATTCCAGACTTCACCTGAAGACCTGAGGAAATGGAGTCTTGTAAGCTCCTGCTTGGTTGGCACTACATCCTGCTGTCACACCGACACTTTGAGGGCCGTTTTGACACTCCTGCTATAGACCATGTTCATGTTTTAGCTTCTACATCCATAATTGGGTAGAATTGATTCAGTTGGCCACCAGTCGTCAGGGCTTCAGTGTGCACTGGTTTACCAAGCCAAGTTTTCTAGGTGCACCTGTTTATTTTTATTTTTTATTTTTTTTACTGCCTTGCAATGTGATGTCATCAATTATATAACATTCAACCAAATAAAACTTTAATTTGTTGTTTAAAAAACGTTGATTCATATTGTACAATTTATGATCTATTACCATAGTTTTTAACTAACTCAATATGTTAAGTGTGGTGCACCTAAAGCAGTGCTGCACCTGAATGAAAATGTGGGAGCACTGGTCCAACAAAACTCAAGATCAAAAGAATTTTCAAATGAAACCAGAAGAGTTAAAGTGGAAAATCAACTAATTCTATAAATTGAATTTGGATTTTATAAATAAGGTTTGCTTCTTCTCTGGAAATTATTTTTTATTCATTTTTGTGTTAGTAGTGTATGTGTTTCCCCCTGTTACTTTGTATGCAGTTCATACGGGATATGTCCTTTTGTTACATTTCTTTATTAAATGTTTTATCAAAACACGAATATGCAACAAGGCTTTTATATTAGAACTTAAAATAGATCTATACTTTCATTACATAATTACAGTGAAAAAAGCAATCCATTCCATATCTTCAGTCTGCCTTTTTTTGCCTTATAATGTTACATATAGTTTTAAAAAACAAAACAAAGAACAAGCCAAACATTCCTAGTATTTTATAAGACTTCATGGACAAGCAGCAGATCTTGGCACCACAGTATGCAGACACAAGTAGATTTATTACATTTCAACTCATATGATATAGTTATGAATTGAGATTTAAGAAAAAGCTAAATACTTTTAGAAAAGCAGGTCTTTCTCTTGTTTAAAGATGTTAATGTTTGTGTATTTTTAGTGATTTCTATTTTAAAAAAAAGGTTTTGCCATGAATTTAAGTAATTTTAGATCAAGGAATCTTGTGCCTCGTGTAGAAAATGTCTCAAAACATCTGCATTCCATATCATATTGAGTCTCCATCTTAAAATAAAAGAAGTCCTTCGTTCACGTTGTAGACCTCTGTGTGTTCATGTCTCGCTGCTGGCTGATGGGGGAGAGTGGTTTTCGGGCTCATGGGAGTCTGAGGTCTTCAGGAGGTCTGGGTCTCGCGGACTGGCCACCATCTCTTCACTGTTGCAGTTCACAGGGGAGCCTATGTCCGAGGAGCGGTCCCCAGGTTTCTCTGGTGGCCCCTGGATCCCAGTCCCAGACAGAGGCAGGTTCATCAGGTACATCAAACTGCCCATTCGCCTGGACACCTGCCAAAGTGAGGGTTTAAAGACCTTCAGAACTAAAGGAGATGTTGTAAAAATGAAATGCTTAATTGATATTTTGCAGAAGTAGAACTCGGTTTTGACAGGTACACAGCCTGATAGTTAGTCTATGCTCAGCCTTTCAATTTCATTTTAAAGTGGAAAATTTAAAAGTAGATGATTCCCAAACTAAACATATAAAAAGATAATAGGGAAATAATGTGTTTGGTTTTGAAAACTAATATTGACCACAGTGAAACAGTCTATAAAGCATCTCTTTAATACTGTAGAGCAGGGGGGCCAAATATTTTCTCTGGGGGCCATGGTGGTATATCAGTATATTGTGGAGGGCTGGTCTCGTTTTCAAGTGGTTACCATTTCATTTAAATTCAGACCTATTCGAGCGTGTGTGTATTCGATAAACATAAATATTTATCGAAGAAAGGGAGAGGGAAACCTGAAGATATCCAATATTGCCTTTGTGTGTTAAGTGTCATCTTTTGCATCTGTGGCATGTTTTTGTTAACTTTTAAGATCATGGCAAGTGCTTTGAGGAAATTATAATTCTATTAATATGGATTATATGTTTTAGTTGTCTACTTGCTTGGATTGAACCATAGCTAAACTTAATCTAAAGAAGGAAAAGTGTTGTGGACAGTTAAACGTTATGATGAGATTAGGGCCACATAGAAACATGGATTACTGAATTTTGCCCAGGTCTCCTCCAGAGCTTTATGGTCATTGGCAAAGTCACACAATGGGAAACTGCTACATTTAAAACACTCTCCTGTTAAATACATTCAGTCGCTGTTTTTTATTCATATAAACAAACACCGCTGACGTCCCCAGCTCCCACTGCTCTCGCTATAATGGATGATGCTGATTTTAAAGAGAATTTCTGAGGCCATTTTAAGGTGAAAGTGTTTTACCTGTGAGCGTATCTTGAGCGCGGGCCCCAGCTTCAGTCCCAGTGTGTCCAGTAAGTGCTCCTCCGAGAGCAGAGGCAGCGTCTCTCCATCGATCATATGTTCCTTAAATGTCTGTAACGGTTCCCAAAAGCACAAATAAGATCACCTTGAACTATAACTATGCCCCCTTCAGAGGAGAAAGACCGCAGCACAATTTTAAATGACATTTTGTTTGGTTCCAGAATGATAAATAACACAATATTTGCAATTGTTTAGAAAATATAACTAATACTTTATACTTTTGTCATTGATGATTGTCATAGAACATTCATTGTTTCTCAAAACAGTTTTAACTTCTTATTTTATGTTTTTTTTTTTGTTGTTTAGTTTTTTTTCTGCCACATGTCTGTGTGAATGTCGGGATTATAAACGCAATAAAAATTGTTGTTTAAAAAAAAACTAAAAACAGTTTTGATTGTACTGCTAATGCTATTGTAATGCTAATGCTAATGTTTTCCTATTTTACACCATATTTTCAGTATATAGTTAAAAATTCAGCAATAAAATGAGTTTTTTTTTGGATTTTCATGTTTAAATTAGATACAAATACTTTTTAAATTTTGTTTTAAAGATTGGTGCATTCACTTATTTTCTTCCTTTTCTGTGTTTGTAAAAGGTCCAGGTTTGACGCACAGAATGCAATCGGGAGAATGTCTGCAGGTCTGAACAGGAGACACTGACCTGAGCGTATTCAGAGCATGTGGGGATGCTGGTGATAAAGTTGCACACATCGTTCACCGTCCACTTCCTGATGTCCTCTGCCACTTCCTCCCCGTTCAAGAAGAGGTTCGAGGGTCCTGAACCAGAGAGGCAAGTCCAAACATGAAAGAACATGCATCATATTCTTAGCTATTCTATTCTATTCTATTCTATAACAAATCTATTCTTTTCTTCTAATGAGGATTATTGCATTGCGTATTTCACAGTTCGCTTCACTTCAATGTATTTTTATTGATCCCTGAATCACAACAGCAGTCTAAAAACAGTGAGTGTGACGGAAAAGTTCACGGAAAAGGTCACTTACGGATGGTTAAGGCCAGGCTAGATTCAATCACAACTGGGCTAAATATGGTTGTTTTCCTGAGACAATAGCCTTTTAAATGAAGTAACATGCTCTAGTATCCCATTACCATAAATGTTGTAAGGTACTATAATAAGTAAGTAGTAAGTAAGTAAGTAAGCTTTATTTATATACCGCCTTTCACAGACCAGAGTCACAAAGCGGTTTACAATTGTTATTATTTTTGGGCACTTGTCCTCTCACTCCACACAGAGATGGGAGCGGGGTCGCCGAACAGGAGGCGCATGCCAGACCTATTGTACATATTTTTAGTGGTAGGGGAAACCGGAGTACCCGGAGGAAACCTACGCAGACACGGGGAGAACATGCAAACTCCACTCAGAAAGGCCCTGGTCCGGCCGGGATTCGAACCCAGGACCTTCTTGCTGAGAGGCGAGAGTGCTATCCACTCAGCCACCGTGCTGAGTGGATAATAACAAAATAATTGAACATTATTTCAGGGGCCACTAAAAATGGTCTTGCAGGCTGAATTTGGCTCACGAGCCTGAGTTTGACATGCCTGAGTTAGGGGTTCGTTTTGTACATTTATATACAGTCTATGGTCACTACACACACCTGGTGGTAGGAAGCCATTTCCCATCATTGGCACCATGTAGGGCATCCCAGCCGACGCCGAGGGGTACATGAACTTCTCCTGGAACGCGGCGCTGGTTACATCTTTATCGTTTGCGCTGCCATTGGTCCCGTCCCCACATCCATCCTGATTATTCACCTTCCTCAGCCCATTCTCTCCATCTTTATAACCCTTCCTCGCTCCCGTGGGCGTTTCTGGCTCTGCTTTTGGATGATGCGTCTTGTCTCCTTCGAGCTCGCCTTTCGTCTCGGCCTCACGCTCCTCTCCGGAAGTGGCGCCAGGACTTCTCTCCACATTTTTATCCTCGACGGGACCTTTAATATGCACGACTTGGTTCTCTGAGTTCTTGTGGACGGTGGGTCTTCTCCCTGCTCTGCGTCCCCTCTCCCGGTGCAATGTGCTGATGGGCGGGTAGGGACTGGCCGACATGAGGATGCTGTTGGCGTGGAGGTCGTCCAAACTGGGCCGGTGTACGAAGACGTCGTGGCCATCGGGCATTCGCTGACGCCCTCTGTAAGCCATGGCGTTGGAATTGAAGGCCATGGGGTTGTCCATGCCGATCAGCCCCTTCTGATGAGCGTTCTCCATCTCCTTTTGGTGGAGGATGGCGTTCATCTCCATTCTACAAAACAATAAGGCTGAGATCAGTTGAGCTTCAATCAACCCTCGACAAAAGCAGGATTTTACATTTATTTTGTTCTGTTATATATGACAGCAATTACAAAACATTTTTTTTCTCTGGGGCCGAATTTAAGGCGCGTTCCCACTTGCTGGTCTGGTTTTCTTGAACTCAGGCATGTCCAAACTAAGGCCGTGGGCCAATTGCGTCCTTATGTGTAATTCCTTGTGGCCCTCTGTCTTGCTAACATAGAGGAGTCTTTGATCATAAGTACAAGTTCACAGAGTCTGCAAGCTGGTGAGATGGTTTTGTCATTCAGCCAACTTCAGCTCCATTATTGGTCATTACAAAGCTCAGAACAGCCCAAATCCTGGCAAAACAGTTTTTACAGTGTGGGTGATCGGCCTCGGGACAAGTCATGTGAACTAAAGTGGCCCTCATACTGAAAAGTTTGGACACCCCTGCATTAACTTGACCAAGTTCACTCACGGGAGGGGAGATTACTCCCCAGATCTGATTGAGAACATTTTAAATCAGTTAGGTTGACTGCACCCACAAATAATGCAGTTCTTAACCCTGCGTATAGAGCCTTTTGATTTTGTGGTTTATCTTTTGATTTTGATGTTTTCCAGTTTCTGCAGCCAGCCCTGCTGCACTTTTTGTTTATTTAATATTTGTATTGCCTTTTTTGGTGTCTTCCTTGTGGTCTACGCAAACAAATGCTAACAAAACCAGACCATGCGCAGCCGCATACCCTGAAAAACTGATTGGGGCTCACATTATCACTCTACATAGCCATAATTTATTCATAGAATGTTTTCTTTTTTTTCATATATGTATAGCTCATACATAGCAAACCTACTTATTTACATCTCTAGTCCCAGGGCAGGTCAGGGAAGTAGACTGATGCAGACTGATGGACCAATGTCATTCTGGATAAATTTTTTTAGGATAAATACATTTCTGCTGTTTTGATATGATGTATAACATGCCATGGTAGCTCAAACATCTTACTATCAATGATTGCTTTGATGATCGCCATCACTCACTCGCATCTCCAAGCTGTCTTACTATTAATGTTAGCCAGTTAATGATAATACTTAAAAAACATATTCACCACCAGTTGGGAAACACTGACATCGAAGATAATTCTAAATCTCACCGTCGATCTAAAGTTACAGTATAACATGTCTCTTTTAATGTCATCCCATTTTCATTTCCCAGTCATACGTGTGCCACAGATCAAGAGAGAGCAGTGGTGGGAGTGAAAAGGGGGATTGTCTGCGCAATAGTATGTGAATGCAAGAGAAAATAAAGGCTCAGACACTGCATCAGACACTCTAAAACAACCATCCTTTAATTTTCCAAGTCTGTCTGTCCATTAATTCCAGGACTAAGCCACAAATGTAAATGTGATGAAAAAAATTATTATGTGAAAATCTATCTATTCTCGGCATGCCTGAATGCTCGCGGTTACTGTCATTTCACACATGGATATTTTTAGTGAGATTTAGTAGATTTTACCTGGCGATATTTTGCTTGTGAATCAGCTCCTGTCGCCGAGCAACTGTTTCCATGGGCTCCGTGGGCATGAATCCGTATCCAGCTGAAATAATCAGATACATGTTGATCAAGTCAATTACAAATGTTTTTTTTTTCTCAACGACAAACACAAGATAGGATGTGTCTTTTCTGGACCTCTGTGCATGTTACTGCTATGATTTTAAATTTCAACTTTTTATGCGTTTATTCCGTTTCATTTTTTTTAAGGGGCATAACATCTTAGGCAAGACAAGGCTATTTTATTTGTGCAGCACAGTTCATACACAAGACAACTCAAAGTGCTGAACAAAACAAGATAGAAACAAGGCATTAAAATAATAAATATTACAACAAAAAGAGAAAAGATAAAATCCCCCGCTTGTTTGCACATCTAAACAGAACTATTTTGCCGAACTGCATTTGAACATTGTCAGAGAAGAAACTTAGCAGTACTAGATTTCTCTACTTTTTTTCTTATTAAAATTCACCTGAACAGAGGAAAACAGTGGATCAACACCGGGCGCTTATGTATTTTTTTTCAATCACACAATATTTAATTTTCTAAGCAGCGAGCATTTTAAACTGCAAAAGGGAGCGTTTGAATTTGCGTCACACTGATAACATTATAATTCTAAAGCATTAGGTTGCGTTCAGGTGCCAATACAGCTCTACCGGAAAGGAGCAGTTTTTTTTAAAAATATGTTAAAATATTTTCTCCATATCATTTCTTTGACAGGATTCACAAACCGGTCATAATATTCTTATCCTTTCTCCTGGCCAAAATCATGCATATATTTTTGGAATATCATAACCATTTCTTGACACCTCTGTGAGAAAATAATTAGCCCATAGTTCAATTCAATTCAATTCAATTTATTTGCGAATAGCCCCAAATCAAAACAGCAGTCGCCTCGGAGGACTTTACAAAGTTATGGATTCCTCAACAACAGTTGGAGACGAGTCCACAAACATATGAAGACAAAATTAACTTTTTACATCTAGAAAAGTAACCTGTCTCACATTTCCAGGAAGACTGATCCGGATTTTTATAGTTCCATCTCTAGGTAAGGTGTTTTAATTCTATATTAGGAAATGCTGATAAGATCCTGTACGTCCTTCTTAGGATTTAAAATGTAGAATAAATTTACATTTCCCACTGTGATTGTGGTAGTAAGATAGGATCAACTTCATCTCACAGTGAAGAAATGAATAGAGAACTTATAGAACTATAGCTTTGGAGAGGTAGTTTGAAACAGTACCCACCGGCCCCTGGGAAGCCTCTCCCAGGCAGGACGTTGACATGTGGGGGTAAAGGAGGTCCGAGGTGGGGTCCCATGTGCATCTGTCTGCCGTCTGAAGTCACCATCTCTGTGGAAGGGACCAGCTCTCTGAAGAAAGCAAACACACTCAGTACATGTTCTAGATTTACTTATATTCTATCATAAGCTGAATGATGACGGAAAGAAGCAGACGGACCTCTCCATGAATCGTGATTCGAACTGTGTCGGGACGCCCTGAAGTCTCTGCTGCCCCTGGGCCAGGATCTGAGGGGCCATGGACATCTGGTTCCTCATCAGCAGCTCCTGTCTCTGTCGCAGCTCTGCACATGACACCACAGAGCAGAAGAAAAGGAGGCTCAATATGGTGGACAGTATTGTGGCTTCTTAATGTTTGTGGCTTTATATAACATCAAATAATAGAGCTACATGACATTACATTGTGGTTTATAGTTGAAAAAAATGGGTTGATAAATTGGTAATCCACAGAGAAAATAGAATGAATAAGAGTTCGAATGGGTTGCAAAAACTATATGTGAAGATAAAAAAAATGATTTGAATTGTAGATAAAATATCACTAAATGCTAAATAGAAATTTTGTTTAAAATTGACAAAACAAATGACAAAATCAATTAAAAAGGAGCACAGGGAGTGGCTGTCGGGACTAAACACGGGGAGGCAGCGTATCAGATTAATGAAGCTATAATCTGGAGCAGTCTTCCTGAAAATGTGAGACAGGTCTCTACAATGTTCAAACCCAGGTTGAAAACAGTTCTATTTAGCTGTGCAAACAACTGAATAGAGTCTTGTCACTCTATTTATGCTGCTTATGTGATTATGATTCTAATGCCTTGTGTGGATCTTTTTAACTTGTTTTGTTAAGCACTTTGAGTTGCCCTAAATTAACGGTGCCATAATAATACACTTTCCTATAGCCCATAGCCTAAATAACATTTAATTATTAGTCTTTATTAAAGGGGAAATATTGTATTCTGTGTACTTTTTCCCAAATGTTTTTTTTGTGTGCGTTTTATGTCTCATTTTTATCATGTTTTAGGATATATTTATTGTTGCCTACAGTTTGAAGATGTATTGTGTTCTCTAAACTCTAAGTGTGGTGACAGATCTCATAGGCCCTGACCTCCTGCGGACATCCCGTTCACCAGTCTGTACCAGTGCTTCTCATCCAGGGCCCCCTGCTCTCCCAGAGACGTCATCTTCCTCAGCTGCTCCCGCGGGGTCATCACCTCCACCTCTCCTCTGCAAGCTGAAAGATAAGAGAAATATACTTAGAAGACTATATTAGAATATACTGTGTATTTAACTTTTTTCCCAATGAAACCATTTCCCATTGTGCTAATGCGGGTTAAGTAATTGCTACAATTGGATGATTATAGACCAGGGGTATCCAAATGAAATAGAAGAGCTACTTTTATGCACCAAAAGAGGCAGAGAGCTTCTCCTTTTTGCAGTCGTAATAAAAAATCTATGTAATACTTACGACAAAACACAGAGAACACACAAACATACCATAATACTGTAAAACCCTATATTTATACTTCTAATAGATATGTAAGAACTCAAAATTTATTCTTTCAAGATCATTTGTAGAATTCTAAACCTTTGGGGAGCTACCTGAAAGGGGTTGGCGAGCTACAGTAATGGTAGTCCCCGAGCCACAGGTTGGAGACCCCGATATAGACCAAGGAGGGATTCGGAATAACCTGCAGTTTTACTTACTACCACTGTGGGGCAGTATTGAATTGGAAAAACACATCTACGTCGATCCTAGAGCTCTCTAAAATAAGGCTCTTATTGAAAATTAGAATAAAATATACATTAAGGGAGGTGTTCAATGACTTAATCAGTTGTGGTTTATCATTTTTTCATTTAATCTTCTTTAGGGCTGTAACAAGTTAAGATTGTGGGGAAATGTCAGTGTTGCATCACAGATTACCGAACAGTAGGAATGAGCAACACAAAATAAGGATGTTAAATATAGCACAACTCTATACTCCAAAAATAAAATCATTTATCTTTAGTTTAATAAAGTTGGTATAGCAAATATAAGTACAAGTATAAACCTGTAAAGAAATATATACTTGTACCTATATACGTGATTAAACAAAACTAATAGATTATTTGTGTTGCCTTGTGTAAGAAAGACGCTGTACAAATAAAAGTTGATTGATTGATTTGTGTATTGTCCATTTTGATGATGAATATTGGTTTTTGAACTTATATGACTCCCAACAGAGCTGAAATTACTGCAGTATTAAATGTTAATACAACAAAGATTTTGTTAGAAGTCTTCTCGATACTACCACAAAATCCAATATTCACAGTCCTTTTGTGATCCAAACCAATCCATTATCAAAATAATAGTTAATCACAGCCCCAACTATGTCTTTTATCTTCATTATCTGTGTATCTGCTGAAAAACCTATTCCTTACAGCCTGTAACCATCTATACATGTGTGGAGCTGTGTCTGTGCTGCTCTTGTCTGTATGCTTTTATATTTTCTAATTACCTGTTTTTCAATTGAATAAATACCTTTCAAAGTTGTGGATACAAAGCAATTGTAAACCTTTAAAATATTGTTCTACTGTCACTTATTTTTCAGATGAATCAGCAAATACTGGCACATTTAAATGAACGTTTATTAATGTTGACTGTCCCTTTACAAATATACTAATTACATAAAATGAAAAAAAGTCCTTATACCAGCGCTTGTACAGTAGACATTGTTTACAAGCTTCACCTCCAGTCTGTAACTCCCAGAAGACTCAATAGCCAATTGCATTACACCTAATCCAAATATACATTTGACCCTTAAATCTTAATCCTTTCTACGTCTCTCAAGTCTTTTGAAACAACTTAATTTTCTGTTTTTTCTTATCTTTTCCCTCATAGCCTACTCTCCTGTGTTTAGTATGCAGAGCCACGTCTCCTAAAGCCCACAGTATTTAAGCTGAGCCAGCAGACAATTGACTCACACTCGTCCAATTAGCTTATAACACTCCAGAAATCCCATTACAAAAATGATACTGTAAATGTAGTAATCCATTTGTGTTAATCCCGATTCTGTCACCGACTCAAATTCCCTTAATAGATCACACACATTATGAAAATATACAATTTTCACACTATTTTAACATTTCCTGTAAGGATATAAAAGTATATAGCATAAAGAAGCTATTGTTTTTGGGAAATCATAACAAAACACCATCATCCATTTGAACCTGGTCTTCCCACATGGTGCAAATGAAACCAGTGGTTTAAAATGTATCTCTGAATGAATATGTTTCATGCATTTTAATTTGTGGACATTAAAGATGCTCTTTGAGGCTTTTCTGTGAGCTGGTTTGGTCGTCAGATGTGTAGAAAAGACGTGTCTTCTCATAGGTAGATGTGTCTGTTCTCAGTGTTTTCTTTGAACTATTTCTATATTAAATACAGTAGAACACTGCAGGACAAACATATGTGGTCAGCAACCATGTCCATTACATCTTTTGACCATATAGCCATGTAGTATCATATAAAAAGTTTTTTTCATGAAGAATATATTTCAAACAGTCTCTCCCCTTGGCATAAGCATCACCAGTAAGATTTTTTGAAGAGTTAGACCAAAGGTGGGGTCTCAGCTAAGGATTTGAATCAATTGTGTCCAATCAGGGACCTGTGGGAGCGGGTCCAACTGGGGTTTGCGATAAAAAAATGTCACATTTTGTCACTGCAATTGTATAATTGACTGCATTATATACAGACCATCTAACATTTTTTTGCGGGACAGGAGTAGACTGAACAAGCTGGTCAGGAGGGCCAGCTCCACTCTGGGCTGCTCCCTGGTCTCTGTGGAGGAGGTGAGGGACAGGAGGGTGCTAGCCAACATCATCTCCATCATGGACAACACCTGAGGAGCTCCTTCAGTGGACGACTGAGGCACCGTTGCTATCCCAGGGCCCGCAATAAGTCACTTAATGACGAAATGCACCAGGACTGCAACCTTTGCACTGCCATCATCATTCTTCAATCTTACATAAGAAACATTTATTGTACATAAGGTGCCTTATATCTTACATCTTGTTAACTTTTTAGTGTTTGCACATCATGAGTGATCTTCTTGAAGCTATATGTAACACGTACATTTCTCCATTGTGAGAAAAATAAAGTGCATAACATTAAAATACAGAAAAAAAACACAACTTTTGGAAGATCTAAATGTACGTATGAGCAGAATAATTACTTTTCCAAAACTAAAAGCTGTCAAATTGACTGCTCTGGGAGTTCTAGGGTTAATCACCCACCCGCCCAGACCCCTCCAGCCTTGCACCTTATCCCCAGACTCTCCAGTTGCCTTGAAGCCTAATCAGAGGGTGATAATCCTCATGTTAGCCTGCACAGTCTGTTAGCCACATCTGCTAAGTGACCCGCTAACCTGCCCCTCCCCCAGTGGTCCTCCCCCGGATCCGATTAGCTTAGTCCTGGCTATACAGCACTTTAAAGGGATGTGGTGGCGGTAATCCTCACGTTTAGAGTTTTACCCTCAGCAAACCTTGCCTGTTAAGCGTCCCGGACAATGCCACATAAGTATAAGCCTATTTGCCACCATTAGCGCCACATGGGGGTGTCCTAAAAACACCTCCACACAGGCCTAAATATGGGGTGTTTGGGTAAGAGGGGTGCAGAAGAGGCGGGGAGATTGGAAACGGAATATTCTGAGCCGTCAGTAAAAAAAATAGAACTGTGTACAGCATTTATGTCGTTTTTGACAATATATTTTATTATTACTGGACATGACTGGGAAAGAAGTTTCAAACTGCTCAAAAGTGTAACTTCACATAAATAGTGGATATATTTGTTTGCGTAGATGTGGTACTGTAGATGTTTAGGATTCCAGAAATCATACTGTCCTTATCGGGATGATACGTAGTATCAATATTGCAATATTACTCTAATTAGTTAACGTACATAACAGACGATGGAAAAAACTTTTAAATGTTTTGGAATTTTCTGCTGAAACACCATTAGATCAATACATTTATTATTTTTATGAACACGTAAACCTAAATATAAATAGTCGATGTAGGCTCTTAAAGCTGGGGTACTTCTCAAACAAATTGCATGTGGTTTGTCTCAACAGAACTGTTAAAAGTATTGAACAGTTCACAACCTGCTGTATTTGTCTGAAAACATATTTTGCTTACTGTGAAAATCCCAGTGAGTCACTATTTGACTCTTGGGCTGAGAGCTGATTGGCTAAGTGAGGGTGGTCCTCTCTTTTTTCACTTATCTGTCTGAAAAAGCTAAAACAGAGATAGAGAACAAACGTACTGTAAATGCATGTGAAACTTAGAACCAAACTGTTGGAGCCAGGAACTATTGATTTGATTACACAGTTTTAAAGTCGGGAATCTTTTTGGCCTTTCCTTAGCAATAAACAGTCTCAGCCCTCCTAAAGCATTAAGCAAACAACAAATAATTCTGTTTTTGCCAAGTTTATAGATTTTCTGCTAACATTGAGGTTCTCTTAGGTAATTGACAATCACTTGCAATTTGTATTCATCTTCAAACATGAGTTTTCTCACAGCTGCTTCGATCTCGCCCGCCTCTCATCAATGCCCCTATGGCACAGATTTTTTTTTTTCTCGCCTCCAAAATGTAGATATTTGCTTTGTTTGAAGTTAGAATCCAGTTCAATATGTTTATAATGGCTCCGAAGCAAAAGGCACGTAAGGATCTCATTATAACCGTCATTTTGTCCCAGACCCTCGTGCTGTTAACATGTGCAGATGTATACACACACACATATGATAACAACAAGATTTAGGGGCATATATATATATATATATATATATATATATATATATATATATATATATATATATATATATATATATATATATATATATATATAAATATGCCCCTAAATCTTGTTGTTTTCATTTCGATGTCCCGCCCTGCACCGTTTAACCAATCAGTCTGTGGTCCGGCTTGCCAGAACTCACCGCGTCGATCTAATTACACTGGTAAAGTAACATGTGGCCACAGAACTAAAAAGGTCTCGTTTTGATTCTCAAATCATTAATGACAAAACTAGGAATAAAACGAGGATTTCTATTGGGTCTTTGTGAAAAAAGTGTTGGTTATAGATTTGTTGTGGATAAATCTCTTGTCAATTCAGATATTATGGTCCCAGCTGGATACGGCTACATACCTGGAAACCTGTCTGGGAGAGTGGGAGAGGTTGCAGTACCACTTTTGGTCAGAGTTAAGAGATATTATTTTATTTTAGATTTGAGATGTAATTAGGTTTTATTTTATTTTATTATAGAGTTATTCCTACTGTCTGTAACTTGTGATGCAACACTGAAATTTACCCACTATGGGACGAATAAAAATTGTTTTATTCTAAGGATGTACTGGTCCAATGTTGCAATGGTCGGATGTCCAGATTTATTTATGTCCTCCATGTTTATTCCATTGAGCTTACAATTTAAATTTGTAGTAGCATCCTCCAAGTTCAGATATTTTTCCATTCTCTCCAAACATGGTGATGACGGAAGCGAGACGCCCAACTCACTAACTCCATTCATACCTATTGTGTTTGTTTTTAGTGGTAGGGGAAACTGGAGCACCTGCAGGAAACCTACTCAGACACAGGGAGAACTTGCAAACTTCACACGGAAAGGCCTGGAGGTAGAATCGAACCCTGCTTCACAAAAAAAGTCTATGTAAAGCATCCCATTATCTGCTTATAATTATTCAAGCTATATTTAGTGTAAAGATAACACAGTCCAAGCATCTGCAGGACATTCAAACAACTTTTAGAATGAATCCAGGGACCCTCTCGCTGTGAGATGTCCGCACTAACCACTCTGCTGAACTGTAGCATTATAACCTTTATTATTCTTTATGCTTTGAATGTGACTTCTCCATGTCTCTTCCAGGCAGAGGCCACACCACAGCTGCCAAATGGCGGGATTGGGCTGTGTGGATTTACAGTTGCATGGTTAATCTTATTACAAGCATGAATTAAAGGGGAAAATTGCTGACGACTTAGGTAAAGCCCCGAGGAGGTCATATCAGACAAGACTCAAGTATTGTCTAGCCCGGGTAATCCTCTCACACCTCATGCACAACACTAAAGCCGAAACATTACGACCACCAGCCTGCTACGCTGCGCAGTCCACATGAAGCCTCTTCGTTATGACACATTTCACTTTTGATAAATACTGAGGGCTATACAGTATGAATTTGCCTCTGTGTGTGAAATTGTAAAAATGTCTATCCATGTCTATGACTGTTATTAAAGCTACCTAACTTTGAAACCACAACAATAACCAAAACAGTCAATGTAACTATTTCAAGCTCTCAAAATTTAGACAAGCCTAAACTCACTTACACCAAAACTGCACCATCCTCTGCTCATGCCGCTTCTAACTTTGTATTTATCTGTATTTAAAGTAGCAATATGTAAGATTTTCATGTCAAGTCATCATTAAATGGCCCTAATCTGTCAAAATGCATTAATAAACAATGCTCTTTTCCAACGTATTTACATATATTTCTTTAACTGATAACAGTAGTTCAGCTGAGATACTCAAATTTCAAAATCCGTTTTTCAGCCCCTAAATCTGGTCATTGTTTTCATTGATGTCCCGCCCTCCACCGTTTAACCAATCAGAAAGACGGTGATCCGGGTTGCCAGAACTCACAGCATCGAGCTATTGTCAGTGGTAAAGAAACATGTGGCTGTAGAACTACAAAAGGTCTCGTTATGATTCTCAAATCATTAATGACAAAACAAGGAATAAAACTAGGATTTCTATCAGGGCCTTTGTGAAAAAGGTTCTGGTCCCAGCTGGATTCGTCTGCATATCTGGCAACCTGAGTCAGGGAGAGTGGGAGCGGTTGCATCACCACTTTTGGCCATATTTTTACATACTTCTAAGTATAAACAGTCTACTCTATAATAATGTATATTTGATTTATTGCGTTGTAACTGAATAATGTCAGTTTTCAAGTAAAAGATCAATTATAACAGACGTAAAAGGTGCTTTTACACGAACCAGCATCAGTCCGTTTCTCCCAGTATATAATGAGAAGAACCACTCTGTTCCATAGAGTTGGGTTCACACTGTAAACAAATGTTTTATAAAGTGTCTCTAACTGGATTTGAACAGTGTGGAACATTTACAGATGTAATGAAGAGTAACAGAAAAAAGAAAAACATACAACACACAAGTTAATATTAAGTATAGCACCACTCTATAATAACTGCAACTTAATACTAATAAAATAAAATCTCCATCTCTACCTTAGGGACTACTGTATCTTTATGGTCGTTATCAGATTTATGTACCTGGGTCCAGACTAGACCTAGGCACCCATACCTAGAAAATGGTTCCTGGTTGAGATCATATCAAGCGTGAACTTGACCAAAAAATATTTAGACATGAAATTGAATGAAATTATATCATGTTCTGTTTAGCTGTGCACACAATTGATCAATCTTTACTTTTTTTTTTATACCTTGTGTGATTGTTTTGCTAAGCACTTTGAGTTGCCTTGTGTATGACAGTGTGTTATACAAATAAACTTTCCTTTCCTTACGTAGTATTTTTCAAATTACATATTCATTCTGTAGTGTAATGTTGTATTTATATTAAAAATCAATCAGAAAATGATTGTTAAAATGGTCATACAGTCTCTAACCACAAATCTCACCACTTAGACATAGATAGATAGATACATACTTTATTGTCAGTCACAAGGGTCAGAAATTTGTTTTGCACAGTTCAACTCTATTTGACATCTATCTTTTTGGTCTAAATGCATAAGTTTCATTTATGTACATCAGTTTGACAGTTCTGCAGTGGTTTTCCCCATGAGTGAGTGAAGCATCAACATAAAACTGGGCTCAAAACTGCAGCAGAGCAAATAAAACAGAGACTATATTGGTGATTTGAGATATGACAAGTGGCATTGAGTAGCAATTATGCAGCAACTATGAACTCTTGAATCAAAGATGCCCAGCACGCATCATAATCAGCAGCATCGTCGCATGTCGAGGTTGTTGGGAGTTTAATTAGACTGATTTCACTCGTGTACTTTGGATTTTGGATTAATGCATTCACTGCTAATGTTTGCGTGATAGGATTATGAATATACAACCTCAGAAAAGCCCCTGGGAATGATTGTATAGCTGCAAATGAGTAAGTTTTTTGTTGCCAAAACTGTGCAGAGGCCACAAAGTAGACATGAGTGACACATTGAATGTTGTTGATGTTAATGTAGCTACATTAAATAGAGTTAGGTCTGTTGGGATAGATGGATCTGGATAATTATTATATATTACTACTGGGATAATTTCAATGTTTTTTTTTGTATAGCCCTTAATCACAACAGCAGTCATCTCAAAAGACTTTACAAAATTGACAATTCAACAACAAAAGATCAGAGAATCAAACAGTTTGAACACAGAAAATGCATTAGTAACAAACAGAGGAGACAGTCCGAGACAATAATGATCCAGGACTTTAAAGTACATTTATGGACATTTATGGACATTTATGGACATTTATAGACATTGGTCATTCTGCTCCCTATAAACCAATTGCATTTCTTGCGTTCAAACTGTTCGATTCTCTGATCTGTTTTTGAGGAATCGATAATTTTGTTAAGTCCTCCGAGATGACTGCTGTTGTGATTTAGAGCAATACACAAGATAATTAAATTGAAATATTTCTGCTCTTTCAGGACACAAAAAGATATGTCTGGTTTGCCACAAGTTGCATTAACTACAATCATTATCTTTTTCACATAAATGCAAACGAGGAGAAAACAAAGTACATATTGTTACATATTTTTACATGTTTTTTTTTACATGAAACTCGATCTAAGTAACTGGTAATATACTGAATTCCTTAAAAACTATTCTACAAAAGTAACTAATGCTTAAACTTAAAACAAGCCAAACATACTAGGATACACGAATACATACATGGAGGGATTCTTTTGCTCAATGCATGAATCCATTTGTACATTTTGGCTTTTTTAAAATGTTATATCTCTGTCTGGTGCACACTGGGGTACTTTTACAAAAGAATCTGAATGTGGTCCAGAAACACGTTGCAGCATGCCACTAAAATACTGTAACATAAACATTGGTATTCCACTCACCTCTTTCAAACCAGGTGCAGACTGTTCCAAGGACTACAGTTGAACCTCAAGTGGACGGAGACGTGTGGGTGTTTGGAAGCACCTTGGTGGATGTCTCCTCGCTCCTATAAGCACTGGTCTCTCGTCACCTCTGACTGATGCGCAGCCTGGCACTCGCTAACGGCCTTAACTAAAAAAGACCTTTTAAACACCGATTTATTTCATCTCTATTAGCTGTCCCTGATCCCCCTGCAGTAAGCCTTGCCTGTCCTGACTTCACCATCCGCCACACAAGTGTAATTACAGCCGCCGCACTTGTACTAAACCTCTTTTAACATTTACCTCACTAATCCCTTGTTAGCACTTTAGGCCCTGGTTAAGACACCTAAACGCTTAGCTTCCTTTTCCACAAGCAAAATGGCCCCTTGTGCTGTGGCCACTGTAGCTTTGGAAGGCCGATTTTAGACCACATGCTGAGAAAGACTAAATCGAGACGTCCAAAGATCTCTCAAATCTGTCTTGTTTGTGTTTTTCATTGTCTCGTTGTGTGGAAGGACCGCGGGGGGCCAGATTTGGTTAAAAACATGCTTGTTGTTGGGAATATTTTGGTGGGAATCCGGATAGAAGTTATGCCAGATCATCTGCTCCTAATCTGGCAGTTTCAGATTACTGCTGTGCTGGACATTTCAGAGTCCGATGTTGGGACTTGGATCCTGTTGAGTGCGAGGAACCAGAGAGGTGTGGCGTTAATAACAGCAGATGACTGAAGTGGCTTAAATGGCTTTTGCAGACAGCAGGAGCAAAACACAGGACTTAGACTTTATTTTCATTTTGTAGATGGGAGCCAATAGGCATAGCCGTGTCTGCATCGCAAAAAGTGATACAAATAAGTCAAAAATTGCTGAAAAAATGTATCCGAATTTCAACACATTTGGACTGCCTTAAAACAAGATTTGCCAATGGGACTAGCAACATTATCACATTTTCAAAAGACAAAAGAAATGTGTCCCTTGGAATGAGAAAATAATGCAACAGTTCTTGAAAGAAGACTATATTTCTTGTTCCATTAGCAAATTCTTTTTCAAAATGTACTCAAATTAAATACTCATATATTATAAAGTGTGTGCAAAATGTAAAAAGTGTCTCGTCTTGTCTTTGCCCGTCCTGTCTTGTCGTGTCTTGTCGTATGTTGTCCCAGTGTTGTGGTGCTATAGTTTTGTATTGTTATGTGCTTTACTTTACTTTATTGGTGGGGGTAGTTTAGGGGATATAGATTTGCCTTTTTTTTTTCATGTGATTTTTTGCATTTGCTTCTGCCAAGCCCCTTTTCAAACCATGCATATGTTTACCAGGGGAATTGTCTCAAAATGTTGATGTGCAGGTTTGAAATAAATACATTGATTGATAAATAAATCTTCTTTTTCAATCAAGACCACAACATACTCTCTTTATCTTAACAGAAAACGTTAGCGTAAGAAAGTGAGTCACTACTTTACACTTTGGGCTGAGCTGATTGGCTGAGTAAGGGTGGTCCTCTCCTGTTCACTTTTATGTCTGAAAAACCTGATCAAAAGGTTTGACAGAAGCCAAAAGTACAAACTGTTTTATTTTTGTTTTTTTTTCAGAGAGAGAGGGATTAGTTACAAGAGTTTTGTTTCAAAGTTCCATTTGTTGTGGTTTGAAAGTTGGGTACCCTAGCTTTACCACACTTTCATATCGTCTCATTCACTGCATTTATGTACAACTCAAATCAATTGGTCAAAACAATTATAATCTTTTCTCAGCATCCAAGAACTTCATTTAGCGTTTGTTTCTGGTATTGAAGTCTTGAGAAGGCAGTAAATAATTTGTGTGTTTTCTGTTGTTGTTTCTCAAATGAAACAAGCCTAGACTAAAACAGGGGATGTGGGTGGGGATAGGTGACAGGTGAAAACGAGAGAGCAGAGTGAGAGGATTGAATTGTCAGGAGAGAAACACTCCTAAAAAAGTTAACATTATAATTCTCCATGAATGTATTTTGGAGATTTAAACCATGTCACAACATATCCTGGATTAATATGATGTAATTGTCCCTCTATGACATCACACTCCGTTTGTTTGCCTATTTTAAAAACAAAAGTATTGCTCATAATCTAGTTTAGGCAATTTATAAAGTGAAATTATGTTCTTTGCAATCACACAGCTGTGTTTGCAGTTGGTATTTTCAAATGTTTTGTTTTGTTTTTTGTTTCATATCGACACCTCCCTCTGGTGGAAACACTGTAGCAAAGTGAAAGGGCTTTAGCTTTATTCATCCTTCATGTGTCTCCATATCTTTTCTACTGAATATATCATTTCTTCTTTATTATTAGGACTACCATAATTCGGAAATTACTAGAATTCCCATTTTGTCATTTTGACTGCTCCCATTCAAACCAATGGAATTCCCCCAAAGAATGTACAGTTTTTCACCACATCCATTAAAACTGGTTATAACTGCAACTGAAATACAGCTGAACATTGTAAAGCGCTTTGGGTGACCTTGGTCTGTAAAATGCGCTATTTAAATGACTTACATGCTTACTTACTTACAGCAAAAAAGGCTAAAGCTAACATCTGACCATAGACTGTAAATATTAACGGACGTAGTCACGCCTATCTCCGCCGTTCTAACTAATGGTCAGTTTCAAAATGGCCGCGGGGGCTGGAAAATGTGAAAAAACGAATCAGCGCATGTGTCAGCCGGCACGAGCCCCATTCATTTAAACGAGTTCAAAAATTCACAGCAACTAAACTAGACTGGTCCAAAAAAATTCACCAGCATTGACACACATGTGGAACGGAGCTTTGGGCCAAGAGCCAACTTTTGGACCATCCTGTAAAGACGTTTTCGAGAGGTCTGCCAATGCTATATGTTAGCATTGAAGATTTCTTATTCTGGGTCCACCCTAGGGTTGCCAACCGTCCCTTGAAATACGGAATTGTCCCGTATTATAGAAAAACTATGTGCGTCCCGTATTGAACTGATACGGGACGGCTTTTGTCCCGTATTTTCAGAGCCACCTCAAATGCATCACTCACTCACTGCATGTCACACACACACAGTAATGATCACAGTTGAAGCATCTACCTTTCGGCCAATCAGTGTCAAAGGGGCGTAGGCTTGATCTCAGACGTTGGTTTAATGTTGACAGGCGCCAGCGTGGGCCGTGCCCGCAGCACCATCACGTCAGAAGTTTGGTAAAGTAGCGTCATTTTCCCAAATTCGGACTTCCGCGGTCAATAGCTCACAAAAGCTACTTTGTTAAACAAAAGTAATTGTGCTAAAATGATCATCTCTATGTTTTACAAATTCAATGCGCTGTTTTAATGCAGAGAAATCCTCTGAATCCAATGCACTGCAAGCGCCGAGAAAAGCACTTAGGGACCGTCAACAAATATCCAGACCAGCTTTGTAAACGAACAATAGCTTTTACTGAAGCCACAAACCTGCACAAAACTCAGACAATATAAATAATGATGACCATATCTAACTACTACAGACTGATTTGTGAGTTTTTAATGAATACATATGTTTTTCTTTTTTTATCTGCTTTTACAGAAATCGGTCTTTACTGTAACATTCATAAATAATGTATGTTACAGTATTTGTCTTTTTTATATTTTTTAATTTTTTTATATTACTAATAAGAATGCATTAAGTCCTTAACCAGCCAGAGTTCCACCTATTTATTCAATTTCATTTTTGACTAAGGATTTTTTTTTTATATGTAGTCAATAAATTACAATCTAAAAACTGTGATTGTGAAATTCCATGATTACTGTGTAGACTGAAATTAGGACTAAAAAGTGCTCAACCCGATCCACCCAAATGGTGTCCCTTATTTTTTTGTTCTCAAGTTGGCAACCCTAGTCCACCCCCATCGGCCCGGGGTGGTATTGCAAGTATGTCAGCGCACGTTATTTTGGCCACTTTTGAGCTGGGACCAGCCCCCACTGCTTCTGACAGTAAACCGTGTGTTGCTATGCTGACTAGCTCTTGATATTCTCTGGTGGAAAATTACTTTCAGGTAGAACTACACACATTTCAAAAGTAAAATATAATTTAATTTAAGAAACAAAATGACAAAAAAAAACTTCATACAGATACAGAAAAACTCACAAAGTTATGAAGACCAAGTAGGAACATGACATGAAACTCATGCCCAAACTTCTAGTGTACTAGTGTCTGGTTCAGCCTTGTGTTGGTGGGATCCCTGCTCTTTGGTGACCTTTAAGAGGCGAGGGGAGGTAAGGGCAAACCATGGATCTATTAGGGGCAAATGCACATCTTCTAATCACAGAAACAACCTGCTGTTTGGATCAGTCTCTTTGCAGGACTCACCTCATGGTTCTGTCACCGCCCTAATCCGAGACCTCCCTTAGTCCAATGGAAATCCTATTGAGATTAACAAAGCGTTTAAGTGGATGGATTTACTGGTGAAAAATGTCATGTTTTGCATTAACTGAAGTCACTTATAAACATTTAAGCCACACAATGTAATGTAATAATGTAAAATGTAAATACATATGTTATGAAATCCACAAAACAAGTTCCTCGCTCTCTGAACAGTTTTAGTTTTCACGTGCATGTATTCTTGGCCTCGGTCACAGATTTAGAACAGCTTTGTCGGACAGAAAAGAGTAAAAGCTTTTTCGTTACTGTTTTTCTCTTAAATTAAATAGAGATGGATGTATGGACAGGATGTGATGGTAAGTTTCAAGACCAAATGTATTAATTATTAAGATTATGAGTGAGTTACACAATCTTTAATCGGGGGCAAGACGCCTTTTCTCTCATTTTTAATTTTCTTTCATTTAATTTATTTGATTCAAGCACTTTTTGGTCATTAATCAACAGTAAAAACAAGTACAAACAGGAACCATTTTCATAACGCTATTATTATTGAGTCTGTTACTTTTCAAACTGTGAAAGTGAAAGTGGAAAAGAAACTTGAAAGGGTTATTCGAGTCCGGAGAAGACACCGGCCCACACAACAGAAACACAAGATTTTCTAGAGCAAGCGGTTAGTCATGCCTCTAAATACATAGATACATGTGTGAAGTGGTTAGCCCTGCTTCTAAGTTCTGACTAACCTCTTCAAACCTGCACTCATGAAGCATGCTAACTGCAATTTTCAAGAAAAGGTTAGACCCACCCATGCTTGGCTCCTCGTCATTGGTTTAACTTTAACTATTCTCCAGCAAATCTTACTGGTGGTACTGTAGTTATGCCAAGTGGGCCGACTGTTTTAAAAAGATAAATGTTGAAGAGTACTTACTGTGTTTTATCATGCAGTACCCCAAGGTCAGACACAAACATTCTTAAAATAAAAAAAAGATTCTAATTTGAATTGCTGACATGATCTTGATCTTAACCTCAACAATAGGAATTTACAGAACATTGTACCACCATGCTATAAACATAAATACTGGTATGGCAATTAATTTGTATAGCACATACAGTACATACATCTTCAATTACCCAATATCTATGAACAAACACTCATACATGGGCTAAAAACATGGTACCGAGTAATGCAGATGTTATTTATGACATAAATAATATAGTGTGTAATGTGTTTATCATAATTATGATTGAAACATCGGCTATCTTCATAAATATGACCCCATCTTTGTTATTCCAACTTTTCTACTTCATTCTAATGTAATATTTTTCTATAACACTGGGCTTGAAGATACTGTTTGATTCAAGCAGTTTTTGTTATATCTTGTATCCAATTAACATTATATTTAGAAGCGGCTCCAAAGGAGTAAATCATATCTGCCTTTATTTGCATCAGTTCAAAACATACAAGCCACGTCGGTTCATGTGTCGTCTCAGATATACACATCCCCTTTAACTTATCTGTTTTGGAGATTTGGACCAGGTGCCTGTTTCACACACATACCCCAAAATAGTTCAAACACTTATCTTACATCACCAACGGCCTTTAAAAACAGCACCGGAGCCACGCACAGCACTGCCCCAAGGTAACACAGGTGAGCGAAGATCATTGGTGCCTTTTAATGGGGCTTTTTATAACCATTTTGTTTGATTTTTTCCCAGGTTGTTAAGATGAACGCTCTCCAGGTGCTCTCTCTGGTTCTGCTCTCCGTCTTTGCGGCTCAGGCTCAGGTCCTGATGCCCGGCCGCTGCCCTCAGCCTGCGGTGCAGAAAGACTTTGATGCTGCCCGGGTGAGTGCCCATTTTAATCCATGTCATTCCGTCTTTGTAAACATTTCAAGTCACAAGTCACTTTACCTGCTATTCTCAAACGAATGGACTATGTAATAATACATTATTACATTGTCCATTCGTTTGATAATTCTGTTCTATGCCCGCTGCTATTATTACTATTACTATTGTTTATTCTGCTCATGAGTAAAATACTGATCTGGGTAAATATTTGGACATTTTCATCATTCATTCATTTTTTCTCATCACCTTTATTAACCTAATTCTGGGTCGGGGGTTGGCAGTCAGAGCTTCTGTACCTCCCAATCACCAGCCCCTCAGTGATTGGGAGGCCCTCCTGGAGGGAGGCCTGACCCTCCTGCATGGGGTTGGTCAAGATTCAAGATTAATTTGTTTTGTCCCAGAGGAAATTTTTCTTGGACTCACAGGCTGCTACGTTGAAAAAACACATAAGATAGACTTATGGTGCTTTCAGACCGCTGACACTGAAACGCATGTTCTCTAGTTTTCAGACGCAGGGGTCTTCAGACCAGAAGTCCTGGCGCACGCCGGAAGTGGCGGAAGTAGCCGGCGGGCTTTGACGCGCACAGAGTTTAGCTAGCGGCTTCTCGTGTAAAGATCTTCTCCAATAATGCAGCTTTGCAGCGTGTCTGTGTTCAGAGACCTTCCACTGACTTTATATAACAGTAGTGTTCACAGAGGTGCGCAATTCGTTTATTTTATTATTAAACGGTACTTCCGCATCGGCGAACACGCTCAAAGCAGTTGCATAAAGTCACGGGAGCATGAAAACTCACATGTTAACAAGCACTGTGTCCCCCATCGTCAACCCTGTTTAGTCCTGATGTAGCTCCTGTTTTGGCTGTTTACAGTATGTTCAGTCTGCTCGCTCAGTCCGCTAATGTCCCCGTGACCACTTTTTGGTTGCTGCACAAACGTCCGAGGAAAACGTTTCTCCTGCGTGCGTCAATTTTCCGCTCCTGCCCCTCCCCTTCCACTTTACCGCGCAGTCCGTGCGTGCATTCCGAGACGCTCGTGCGTTTTGACGCTTGAACGCGCGTCACCATTGACTTTGCATTGAAAGCCGACGCAACGCATGATCCGGTCTGATCGCGGCATTAGAACACAACACAGTAACACAAGGAGGAGGGCTGTTCCGTCAGCGATGACATGGCCCTGGTCCCATTCAGCTGGGGCTTCAGGCAAAGTGGGGTTAAGTGTCTTGCCTAGGGGCACAAAAACTGCAGACGTCAGTGGGAGTAACAGATAAAGTAGGTCTCGTGGGAGGAACGAACCCACAATGATCAATATTCTACCAACACCTTCTCAAGATTGCTTTCAAAAATTGCTTATTTCCCATAGAAACTGAAATACAATTCTGCAACATGAACGCAGCCTCTTAGATAACACATCAGATTACATATACGACAGATCTCTAAACTCTGTCCTGTGTGCAGTATCTGGGTACCTGGTTCGACATCGTGAAGCTGCCGCACGCGTTCCAGAAGGGACAGTGCAGCACCGCCACCTACTCCCTGCAGAGCCCTGGGGTGGTGGGCGTGCTGAACAGAGAGCTGCTGTGAGTATGGCCTGCTTCGTGTGTGAGGATTTAGAGCAAACACATTGACTTCTGTTTCCCCTTCTAGTGCCGATGGAACCATCAACAGCATCAGTGGATCTGCTACTGCCCTGGACCCGTCCGAGCCCGCCAAACTGTCCGTGTCCTTCTTCGAGAGTAAGTAGAATTGCATTATTTAGCAATAGCAAAGTTAGCTTCCCCAGCTTTAATGTTTTTTCTCTGCAGACGCCCCCCCTGCTCCTTACTGGGTGCTGGACACTGACTACGACAGCTACGCCCTGGTCTACAGCTGCACAGACCTGGGTCTGCTGCACGCAGACTTCGTCTGGATCATGAGCCGAGAGCCCACCATGTCCTCCATCACTCTGGCCAAACTGAGCACTCAGCTGGCCTCTATCGGGGTCCGCCTGGACAAACTGCAGCCCACCAACCAGGACGAGGAGTACTGCAGCCCCATGTAGAACGTGTTGCGTATGGGACTTGTGTGTGTGTCCTTTATGACGTGCCTTTGGACACAGGTATTGGATTGTTTATGCAGACAATAAAGTAATGTATTTCAGAAAATGGATGCCTTCATATTTTTTATTGTGGGTAAAATGTTAATGTATATATAAATACATTTTGTCAACCTACTGGCATTGTACTAGTTTGTTTCAATGTTTTATGGACCCTCAACTGTAAGGAGTTGAGGGTCTCATATATTTAGTTATACATCATTTTAGTTTACATTTTATTTACCAAAACCATGACATAAAATATAAATATATTTGTGAATACAAAACAGATTGGAGAGAGAAAAGGTCTGCTTCTGACCACAATGAAAATATTTTACAATGTTTTTGTTTTGGTGGGGGAAAGAGGAGGGCAAGAGATGAACCCAGACACTGAAGATGTAAAATGTGAACAGAAACATACAACCTTCTTTTGTGAGCCAGCCACAGTGCACCAAATAAGTCATTCACTCTAAACACTGTGGTAAGCTATTGTTGTAAAGATAGGACCTTGTACTGCACCGGTAACTCTCCTTGTCCAACTGAGATGTTTTCTAGTCTAGAGCATGACTGCAGCCTGCTCCACAGGACCACTGTATGTGCACGACCAGTCTGTCTTAAACAGATTCTGGATCATGAGAGGGTCATAAAGTGACCTGTCGAAGAACCAAGGGCTGGAGCTGACCAGAGTCCAAGGCTGTTTACGTCCCATGCTGTCAGCATGGTTGTAACTGCAGGATTGTGTTGTTTTTTCAATCTGGAAAGACTCGAGACGAAGATTGCATTAGAATATTTATTGTAAAGATGCATGAATAGACACCAGCAGCCTGAGATTGAGTACTAATTTATTTATTGAGATTAGACCTGCATACTGCATAACAAATGCAGAAGGGAGTTTAATAGAAATGATGAGCTTGCAAACCCCCGGGGCCTAGAACATGGTGGCGAAGAAGCTGAGCCGAACACATGATACTCCACTAAAGAGGCGGCGATGGGGAGGAGGTGAGTTGGTGCTCGAACAGCAGCTTGAGCTGCAGAGAACTGAGAGGCTCAGGTGTGTTACTGAGCCGCTGAGGCTGATGTTGAGCTCAGGTGCAGACGTGCAGAGGGAGGATTAAGTGTGGCAGCATGACGTCTCTTTCCTCTTCCAGTCTGAATTTGCGCTTAAGCTTCATGATCAAACCTGATGCTGCCACAGCGCTGTGTGCAGAGAGGAGTTTGTGTTGTGACAGCTCTGAGACTATTTTCACTGTCTCACTCCTTTCCCAAGAGTACAATGGTATGAAACGCCCACATACTTGATACTTCAATAAATGAAGAGGAAAAAACCATGGTTCATGTGTGGTCCAGATCCAGGACATTTTTCTGAACTCAGTGTGTGTCTATAAGCGGTATGTTTATCGAGAGTGTGTGTGCAAAAGTGCCCCTAAACATACCGGGCAACATTGTTATATTACTGTTGATGAAGATTAAGAGATTCTTTAATTGTCCCACACAGGGGATTTCTTTTTTAATTTATTGTAATCAGTGGGAGAACAAACAAAACAAAGGTGCGATGTACAGCCTTTTTGACAACAACAACCTGCTTAACAAGTGAGCTGAAGATGCTACTAATTTGAGTCCTCATATTTAGAAAGTTGCATATGTTTCATTGTCTATTAGCTTTTATAATCCAAACACGCCAAAAAACGGGACGTCTTTTGTCTTTGAGTTCAACAATGATCCCCTTTTTTTTTTTTGCATAGATGTGATTCTAAAGTTAAAAAATGAGTTAAAAAAAGCCTCTTTCCGTTTTTTCATTGTCAATTTCAATAAAAGGTTTTTCTTTGCTCTAATTACCAGATCCAATTCTAAAAACCAATATTCTTTTTCCCATGGGATTATATTCTGGGGATTTTTTGTGACTGTACATGATTCTGTTGACAACATTTTAAATATCCTCCCATCCCTCATAGTAACGTGACATGTACAGTATATAGATTATCCTGAAGACACGTGAGTTTCTGTTCACTTTATTGTTGCCCGGTCACTGGTCCATGGGGCTGCAGTAGTTGCGGTCCTGGTTTGTGCGGACCATCTTTCCGGCGTCGACCCCAGCGGCTGTGAGGATGCTGTGCAGCTCCTCCCGAGTCTCGTCAGAGATGGTGGGCTCACGGCTCAGGATCCAGGACAGCTCCCCTTTGAAGATCCCCAACTCCTGGCACCCATAGACCAGAGAGTGGCCCTCGTAGTCTGAGGACAGCACCCAGTACGGGCCAGGGGGGGTACCTGTGGGGGACAGGGACGTAGGCTGAGAGAACTGGGCAAACCCACTACAACTACTACTACAACAACAACTACTACTACTACAACTAGTAATCAAAAACACTATCACCTCCACAGCACGTATAACAATGCAACAGCCAGAGAAGCTTTTTGAGCTAACTCACTTTGCACCTGTGGATACTGAAACTGTCAAAAAGATAATCATGAGTCTGAGCTCCTCCACATGTAGCCTGGATATATTGCCCTCTAAATTTCTGAAGTCCGTCCTGAGCAGTTTGTTACCTTCACTGACACAAATAGTAAACATGTCTCTGTCGTCAGGAACATTTCCTATGGCCCTAAAAACAGCAGTCATAAGACCTCTCCTAAAAAAGAGCAGTCTGGATCCTGCGGGACTTCAAAATTATCGCCCCATATCGAATCTGCCATTCATTGGAAAAATTCTTGAAAAAGTGGCCTCCCAACAACTTACTGAATTTTTAACAATGAATAATTCTTTTGATATGTTCCAGTCTGGGTTTAGACCCCACCACAGCACTGAGACCGCTCTAGTGAAGGTAACAAACGACATTCGACTTCACACTGATGCAGGTAAAGTCACAGTTTTGGTCATGTGAGATCTTAGTGCCGCGTTCGACACTGTCGACCATGAGATCCTCATGCAGAGACTGGAGGACTGGGTTGGTGTCACTGGCACAGCCCTAGACTGGTTTAGGTCTTACCTGGAGGATAGGAAGTACTTTGTGGAGATTGGAGACTGCGTCTCAGATCATGTGGCCCTGACCTGTGGAGTACCACAGGGGTCGATCCTGGGACCTCTCCTATTTAATCTCTACATGCTGCCGTTAGGTCAGTTAATACAAAGAAACAAAGTGTCCTACCACAATTACGCCGACGACACTCAGATCTATGTCTCACTGACTGCAGGAGAACATGGACCACTGGATTTGCTCCTTCACTGTATCCAACAGATCAGTGACTGGATGCAAAATAATTTCCTCCAGCTAAATGCAGACAAAACCGAAATCATTGTCTTTGGTCCCCGGAAACAAAGAGAGGGCGTCATCTGTCACCTACAGTCTCTCTCCCTACTTCCTTCAGACAAGGTCAGAAATTTGGGGGTAATACTGGACTCAGACCTAAATTTCAATAGCCACATAAAATCAATAACATCAACAGCTTTTTACCATCTGAAGAACATTGCCAAAGTTAGAAATATAGTGTCCAGGGCAGACTTGGAGATTCTTGTCCATGCATTTGTCTCCAGCAGGCTAGACTACTGCAATGGCCTGCTTACAGGTCTGTCCAAACAGACCTGTAAGCAGCTGCAGTACATCCAAAATGCAGCAGCTAGATTCCTGACAGGAACCAGGAAGTATGACCATATTAGTCCGGTCCTCAGGTCTCTGCACTGGCTTCCTGTGGCTCAAAGAATAGATTATAAAACAGCTCTGCTTGTGTACAAGTCTCTCCATGGCCTTGCACCAGAATACATTAGTGACATGTTGGTGTCATATGAACCGGCCCGGACTCTGAGGAGCACAGGGACTGGCCTCCTGCTGGTGCCCAGAGTGAGAACCAAACATGGGGAGGCTGCGTTTCAGATCTATGCAGCTAAGATCTGGAACAATCTCCCTGAAAATGTGAGGGAGGCGTCTACTCTGTCAATGTTCAAATCCAGGTTAAAGACTGTTCTGTTTGCCTGTGCATACAACTGAAGGATTTTATCTCCATTTCTAATGCACTGCTGTCATTTATTTATTTTTTTAAATTTCTTGTGTAACTTTGAAAGTTTTAATGGTTTTATTCTTTTGTGTGATTTTATTGTTTTAATTGTGTTTTAATCTTTTGTGTGATTTTAATGTTTTAAATTGTGATTCTGGTGTTTGTTTTATGTGATGATTTGTGATGTGGACTGTGAAGCGCTTTGTGTTGCCCTGTGTATGAAAGGCGCTCTACAAATAAACTTTGATTGATTGATTGATTACAACTTCTACAATAACTGCTACTACTGCTATTACTACTACTACACCCACTGCTACTACTACTACTAGTACACCTAATACTACTACAACATCTACTACTAATACTAGTACTGCTGCCACCACTATCACTACAATTACTACAAGGCCTTCTGCTACTACTGCTTCTACAACTACTGCTAATACTACTACAACAATCACCACCACCACAACTAATATTTCGACTACTACTAATTATTACTACCAGTACCACTACTTCTTCGACTAATACAGCTGCTGCTTATGTTATGTGAGCTAAATACTACCATATACATTTTTAAAGAATAAAAAGTTTGATTACATTTCAAATTATTATTTTTAACATCGTATTGCATGCTCTTATTATTATAACTTCTACATTCTAACTTCGACTGCTTACTATCACAAGTACCACTGCTGCTACTACCTCAACCAGTCTAATTTCTACAACCACATCTACCAGATGTTACAACCAGCTACAACTAGAAATGAAAAGGTTCTGGTCCTTGCACACGCCTGTCCTGTTGAAATGTATTTCAAACCAGTTATATTATAAAGAAAACTTGCTCGATGAAAATTCAGGGGAAATTCCTTTCTTACCACTGAATGAGACCTCAAGCTTGGCAGGCTCCTCTGGACTCTTCACTTTAGCGCTGCCAGCGATGGAGTTAATGGTCCCGTCTTTACTGCAGGACAGAATATGTACACAGCATCATCACTAGAATCTGGTAATAATGGTGAAGTTGTAATGGTTGTAATGGTGAAGTTTAAAGGAGACAAATTGCTGTATGCAAAATAGACTTTTCTGAGATTGTACCCATGCAATTCCTTTCTATGGTTCTTGCATGATCTAGTAATTGTGTATGGAGCTTTCTCTGTACTTATCTCTGTCTGTTAAATACAGTAGTAATGAGACAGTGCTTACTGGATTATTAAGCACTCCACTATACAGAGCGCACCAGCTACATTAGAAAGTAAAGAAAATGTTGTCCACATATAGGCTGCACTTGAAAATAACCTGCAGGTTTTCATGTTGTAATGTAAAACTAATGTAAATAAGCAACAGCTGTGTCAAAATTATTTTCTGCACCCGAGGAGATATAATCAAGCTTACTTGGGGGAATAGCCCCAATCCCTGATCCAAAATTTGCTATTGTGTTTATATTTGATACGTTCTAATTACCTGTTTTTTATTGTAATATTTTAACTAATGTTATAGAAAATGTATGTCTATCTTATACTGTAATGTTTGTAATTGTTCGTAGTGTTTTTACTTGTAGTTGTTTTTCTTGCATTTTGCCAAGGGACTACAATACATACATCGGCCGCATTGCTATACAGGACGTAGAATACAAAGAACTTGAAAAAAGTAGTGGTTGATAGTCCATTGTGGTTCGTAAATTTACTTTTGCTGTATATGATGTAAGGCTCATAAGTCAATTGTGTGAAAGAAGTCAATGAACTACTGTATACAAGACGTTGAGATCTGTAGTGCTGGTATAATAATGATCTGTGTGTGGTAAAGTTGGATTAGAAATATAAGATAAAAAACAAACAAGCACATGTCCTTTTAAGTCTTGTCTACTGACAGCAGCTCACTGTTGAAGACTCCGATGACTCCGGCGCTCTTGGCGCTGTATGTGGCCGTACCGCACTCTCCCTTCTGGAAACCTGTGGGCAGCTTCTCAATCTCATACCACCTCCCGATGTACTGAAACAACACAAGACTCATCAAACTATGCTCAAAGAGGAAACAGACATATTACAAAATCAAATCCTCCTGCAAAGAACTGTGCTGGCCTTTCAGTACTTTCAGCAGCACTGGCCTGGATTGGTGGAGGGCACCCGAACAATCTTTGCTGGTAAAACGTGTATAGAAAAGTGTATGGATAATTTTTCAATAAATCCTGGGGCAATCGACTTGAAACAAAAGCAGTTACAAAGTTTGACATCTTGCTATGGTCCAATGCATGGGCGCCCAAACTATTTTACTCAAGGGTCCAAAACAAGCCACTTCACTTCATTTTAGTCAGGCTGCAACCTATCGCATATCAACAGTTTATTTTAGCAATATTTAGACATAAAAGTACTAATGTAACTGGTGAGAAAAACTTTTAAAAGCTTGAATTCCACCCCAAATTAGGCGTATACTGTCTCGTTCTTGATTCATATTTGCATTTTCAGTTTTGCTTCTCTTCTGTATGTATTAATTAACATTTATTGTTGTTGATGATACATAATGAATGGATAGTTAATGGTATTTTGGGGTTTTTACCTGGTAAATATGACCTGTTCTTAGTAAATGCAGCTGATAATTCCTCAAATCTTTTTGAATTTACCTTGGAGGGGTCAAAGTTGGCCTGGACTGCAGGTTTAGGACATCTGCCGAAACTGATGACCTGGGCGCTGGCAGCAAGAGCGCAAAGCAAAGTCAGCGACAAGACGTGGACGGACTGCATCTTCAACCTGAAACACATCATATTTAGCATTATCACGGCAGACTGACAGTGGAGTGTGGGTTTGAGCTTGCGTTCACCTGGGAGGAGTCAGACTGGAGTAGGCTTTAGTGGAGGAGAGGTTTTATATAGGTCTTGGACATGGTTTTCAGAGCTGATTTTGACGTCTGCGTGAAAACTGACACCTGTACAGCTCCTGTTTACTCTGGCCTCTCGCTGAAGGCACAATGGATATATGTTATCTCCTGTTTGTAGTTTTGCACCTGTCATATCACCGGCCCTTCATTCACTCTGGAGATGTGAAAGTGAAACGTAAAGAAAACTTCACTCTCCAATTCTCGCCATTATAATTGGAGAATGAGAATCTTGCGTGTCACCAATATGTTCAACCATATATGGTATGTTCATCAACAGCTACTGTACCAGTCAAATGAATTTATAAATACAAATACAATACACATTGTGAAGTCATGCTGCCTCAAGCCTATTCAATTGAATTCAACAAAAAGTCCTGGATTGTCATCATTCAAATATCTTTGGATTTTGGAGGAAAGCTCCTTATACCGTGTTTAATGCTAACCGCTCGGCACGGTGGCTGATTGGTTGGCATGGACAGTAGAGTAAGTATTAATGGACGTATTGATGCCTATTAGCTACGAATAGCCCCTCTCGCAGGAAAATGGTGAAAAAACGCTTTTGCCCATGTGTTAGCTGGCCTTGAGCCTGACACTTGGCTAAAAAACAAAATCCTCCTTCTCCGGTAGTCCAGACCAAGCTGAGCATCTGGAGATGGAGGTTGTACTACATGTAAAATATTCTTTCTGCAGTAAAAGTAGGATCATGAAAAGGGTAGCAAATATTTGAAAGTGTGTGTGTCATATTTAGTGCAACAAACTCTCGTTTGTCTTTCACACTAGCTCCGCTCTGATCACTGGCCGCTAATTGAGCCATTTGGTACAAAGCATCATGGGAGCTCGTCCACTGCGCAAAAGCAGGCGGATCAGACTAGGTCTAAAGGACATTTTTCTGGGTACCTCGCGTGAATTTAGTCTGCAGTACTGCGGGTGCCCCCTGTGCCCATGTGAAACAGCTATAAGCTAGTAATACCCTATCCAGATATTATTATAGCTCCATGAGCACAAGGCATTGGTTTGAATCATAGACTGTAAATATTAACGGACATAGGCACGTCTATCTCCGCCGTTCAAACTAATGTGCCATTACTTTCGCATTCTACAGGGCTTTTCAAAACGGCCGCGGGGGCAGGATAATTTGAAAAAACACATTTGCGCATTCGTCAGCCGGCACCAGCCCCATTCATTTGACGAGTGCCTTCAAAATTCCACAGCAACTAAACTAGACTGGTCCAAAAAAGTATACTGATTTCAAAGATGGCGGGGTTACGTTGTTTAACTATGTGGGTTAAACGTCGCTTCCAGTGACGACACTCGTTGACCAATCAGTGTAAGGTAGTCGGCTGACGTCGCGTCAAAGTTGGCCCACTTGGAACCACGGTCGAGGTGGTAAAAAAAAAGTATACGCCCGATCCCAAGCCTCACCCTGGTGGAAATGCAAAATAACCGCGCCGTGCTGTACCGTTACTGTGGAAAAGCAGCAATTCAAACATATTATACAGGGTCAGAACTCAGACCCGACTTCTCCTGACTAGGATATTTTTAATGTAAATATCTAATTGGCGTTTCAAAGCTTTTATAGCCCTACATTCATCCATAGAGTGCCTTTAAAAGAAAGCAGATGGATAGATGAAAATCGTACACAAATATTTGCAAGACTTTTTTCTGTAAAATGTCTCAAATCCACAATTACACGTCTTTCTGGCTGTTACATGTGGTGTTTTCTGTCCTTGTTGATAAGTCTGTGTTTGGCACGTGTTTTTCCACAGCTTCATGTTATGACACTTTGAGAATGTAAAAGGTGCTACGTTCTCAGGCGGCTCCTTATCTGTGAGAAATACCTCCAGAGTGTGTGTTGTCCAAAGTAAACATTGCTCCGATCAATGACAAAAATGGTGAGGGTTATACAAGTATGAACTTCATAGATTTTACAGGTTTAAAAAGGACAATGATGGTCATCCATTCTGTAGAAGTTATGTTTAATGTTAAACTATGAAGATAAGACTTTTAGGAACAGTATTTGGTTTGCACTTTAATGGCATGAAATTGTAAAAACACAATGAAAACACATACTAGCAAAACAAGTCAGAGTGTGTGTGTGTGTGTGTTACCATCAGTTGTCTCGGGGGACTTGACAATTTGTTGATTTGCCAACATGTTAGAAAATCAAACAATTACTAAACTGGAGACACAAAACAAACACATAGGAGCCATTGGTCCATACGTCTGCTTCGTCCAACCCCTTTCACACCGAGTAAAACTGTTTATTTTCTTTAATGAATAAAAAAAAAAAAAAAAGTTTGCTTGTTGCGATTTTTAGTTTTTTTCAAGGCCCTTTTCTTGACAATCTCACACTTAATTACAACAATAGTGCAAGAAGAAAAGGAATGTTCAATAGGACAGTTGATAGGCATTAGCTTGCTGTGTGGTGTTTGCATGTTCTCCCCATGTTTGCAGAGGATTACAAAGGATTGAAATGAACAACAAAGCTACAATCTGGTTGTAAAACTCATTGTTGTTCACTTTTAACACTGTCCTATCCAAATAAGTTATAGCATTAACAAGTATAAAGCAACAGCAGCACATTTACTGTCTTTGTTTAAGACTTTTGAAATAGAACATGAGATTCTATACTTAATTCTTACTTGATTTTTCGAAAGTTAGAGATTTTATTTTATTTCATTTTTGTTTATTTCAGTTATTGTTAATTCATCTTGTTGTGCGCTCCTCATTCCTACTGTTCTGTACCCGGTGATGCAACACAATTTCCCCACTGTGGGTAAGTAAGTATTGGATCTCTTAACTCAAATCTTACTTTTTTAACTCCGGCTTCTCTTTCATGTCTCTCTCCAGACTTACATGGAGGCTCTGAAATATAAACGTCCTTTTCCTTCGCTGGAGCCGCTGACCAGCTCCACGATAAAGCAGCCTTTGAACTGTGGCGCTCTGAGGGAATTCTCCTTTTTGATCTTTTGTGTCTTAAATGAACTCTTTGTGGCCTCTGCAGCTTACAGCCACAGACAGGGTTTAGTGATGCAAATGTGAACGTGCGTTGGACATGAGGACTCGCTCGACTGCTTTCTCATTCATTGGACTCAAGATTAAGAAGAGAACTTTACTGTATTCATTTGTTCCAAGAGAAAACATTTACTTTTATCTTATCTTACATTTGTGAATCACTATGACAACAAGATTGATTTCCTACTTCTAATATCTTCTGCACATTGCTCATAGACAGGTGAAATATAAATATTATTATTATTGTTACTAATTATTATTATTAATATTATTACTATTATCATTATTATATGTTCAAATGTCTATTTACTTCTGTTATTCAACTCACAATGAGAAACTACTGACTCATTACAGCAACACTTGCATTTGTACGCCTTGATCCAGTCTCAGAATCTCGGTTAAGTAGAGCAGGGCCTGATTAGTAATAATAATAATAATTTATTATCTTTATTTATATAGCACTTTTATGTATTATACAGCCTGGAGGAATGCAGTCCTCCAATCAGCAGCTTCCACGGTCCCATGTAGCTTGGCCTTCAGAAGTCAAAACCAAGGAAAAGTACTGGCTCGTGCAAATGTAACAAGGATGAGTTTGAACTTTAACAATAGTTGCTTCAAAGTGTTTAGAAATCTCACATGATAAACAATAAAACAGTCAGGATGTAAAGTCAAAATAATTAGATACAATAGATACAGGAAAACAAAGCAGACAGAGCAAAATACAAAAGAGACACAACAAAGACAAAGCAGACATTAAAATAACAGTTAAAAGCTGTTTGATAAAAGTGGGTTTTAAGAAGTGATTTAAAAGAGGATACTGATGGTGCTAGCCTTATCTCCTCGGGCAGGTCGTTCCAAAGCCGAGGAGCCCGGACAGAGAAGGCTTGGTCACCTTTCGTCCGGAGCCTCGACCTTGGAACAGTCAACAGGGACCTGCCCGAGGATCTAAGGCTGCGGGGGGGGGGGGGGGGGGGGGCTCGTAGGGGGTTAAAAGTTCAGAAATATAGCTTGGTGCCAGACCTAAACGAGCTTTAAAAGTAATCAGTAAAATCTTAAAATCAATTCTAAAACGCACAAGGAGCCGGTGGAGGGACACTAAAACAGGGGTGATGTGCTCCCTTCTGTTAAAACCAGTGAGAAGTCTGGCTGCTGCGTTCTGGACCAGTTGGAGGCGGGAGAGGGATTTGGAGTCGAGATTGGAGAGGAGGGAGTTGCAGTAGTCGAGGAGGGAGAAAATGAGGGCGTTGACGACTTTATGGAGATCAGGAGGAGTGAGAATGTTTTTATCTTAGAGATTGTGCGGAGGTGATAGAAGCAGGTTTGGGTGGTTGTATTGATGTGGGAGCGGAAGGTGAGGTGAGAATCGAAAATGACACCGAGGTTACGGGTGGAGGGAGTGATGTTTGAGGACAGGGGGCCGAGGTGGGTTTGGATGTGGGATATTGATGGAGGCGGGTTGATGAGGAGGACTTCTGATTTGGAGGTGTTGAGCTGTAAAACGTTGTGGGCCATCCAACTGTTCACCTCATTAAAACAGTCGACCACAGCAGCCAGACTTCCAGGGTTGTTTGGTCTCAGCGGGAGGTAGATCTGTGTGTCGTCCGCATAGCAGTGGAAGGACACGTTATGACGGGCCATAACGTGTTCTAGGGTAAGCATATATATAATACTGCGATGGGAGACCTCTCACAAAACCAGGTGCCACACAGTGGGGTGTCAGCGGCTGTAAAGTGCCAAATTCAAAGTGCTGAACAAAACAAGATAGCATTAAAATCATAAATAATCACAGTACATAAAAAAGAAAGATAAAAATATAAAATCCCTCAGTTGTATGCACAGCTAAACTGTTTTCAACCTTGTTTTAAACATTGTCAGAGAGGAGGCCTGTCTCACATCTTCAGGAAGATTGTTCCAGATTTTAGCAGCATGAATCTGAATAGCAGCCTCCCCATGTTTAGTCCTGACTCTGGGCACTAACAAGAGCCCCATCCCTGTGCTCCTCAGAGTCCGGGCCGGTTCATATGGGACAAACTGCACCCAATTCACATAGCACCAGCCCCTCACGATCCTGCTGCAGGTGGTGAGTCCACAGGAGCAGAGATCTTTCAGCGGGGGCTTCAGGCAAAGTAGGGTCAAGTGTCTTGCCCAAGGACACAACGACAGCAGTCACCAGTGGGAGAGGTGAAGTAGGTCTAATGGTGGGCTCGAACCCACGACCTTCAGGCCCAAAGGCCAATGCTCTACCAACTGAGCCACTTTTACGCCCTGTGGGACAAACATGTCACTAATATATTTTGGTGCGAGGCCATCATTTTGTGTGGTATTTTTTCTGTGTCTTTGTGGTTGTGGTTGTTACATTTATCTCTATTTTAAAAGCTAATTAGGTCATTTTATTTATTCATTCTTTGCACACAGTAAACTGTCCCTCTGCCCTGAGATATGGATGAAAATGAGCTCGTAGCTTTGTCCAGTCTGTCCAAGAAATGTATCGTGCAATGTCCCTGTCAAGTAAACAGATTTTGTTGTATTGAAATCTACCCTTTTGTTGGATGTTGTTGTTGAAGGGGACATCATTGTTATACATACATATATTTTTTGCTTTAAAAATTAAGTGGATTGTATTGTTTGTTTATCCTTCCATATTTTTTTTATTTTTGTGTTCATACAGTCTGTGGTTTTCTAATAGTGTATACTTTTTAGTAATATTAATGAAACAATACGTATTTTTCAGCATCTAGACCATGCAGCTCATTTTTATACATTTCACATTTTCTGTGTGGATGTTCTCGCCGTGTCTATGTAGGTTTCCTCCAGGTGCTACGGTTTCCCCTACCACGTTTCCTACGACCAGTGAGTGCACGGTCGGAGGCTTCAATGCGCCAAATTGATCTCTGAAAACATTATAAATTGCTTTGTGTGACCTTAGTCTGTGAAATATGCTATACAAATATTGATCACTTACTTACTTATGACCATTTTGTTTTCATGTTACTATACAAATTGAAGATAGAATTACTTCTAAAATCATTCTAAGGTCATTTCTCCTTGCATATTTCTCCATTGTGAGATCAATAAAGTTTATCTTATCTTATCTTAATAAAACAAGGAGGCAAACAGAACAGTAGCTTTTTGACACTAGAATAACCCCTCCTGAAATGGGTCTTGGGTTAGTGATGAGACAAAACAATTGAAATTACAAGGAAAGGATAACAACTTTGCCTACTTCAGTGTGTAAAGCTAAGACCCTGTTAAGAAAGAAGCAATATTTTCAGAGAACATAAAAGTATGTCTTAGTGAGGAACCTAGGATTATTTGATAACGCGGGTCCCCCATGACTCTAATTCACTAATGGTTTACTTCATGTCTGAAATTAGCAGCTCTTTACAAAGGCTGCTATTGACAAGGCTCAGTCGCAGTCGGACCTCTCCAGACGACAGCAGCGCAAGTAAAAAGTCCACAAAAAGAAGAAAAAAGGTGAGGATTATTTGTCTATTGGCACAACACAAATCTGTATCAAAGTAGTATATATGTTTATTGTTTTGCAGATCTTGATTGAATTGTAAGTATGAAGTCTTCTATTGTGCTTGCTGTGCTTCTTATCCCGTTGGTGGCAGCTCAAGTTCCTCATTGGGGTCCGTGCCCTGAGCCCTCCGTGCAGCCGGCGTTCAACCTTAAACAGGTGATAATGTCGGTTTCATTATTATTATTATATTAATACAACTTATGCGTTGTAACATAGCATCAACAAGCCTTGGTGTGGACGTCCCAGGAACATTTGGAATCAGGATTATTTTTCTTGGCGATGGCTTGAATCTGTTGGTTACTTGATTAGATTTCATACCAACATAGTTTTATATCTTTCAATACCTTAGAAAGACATTTCAATAAATTAGAAAGACATTAAAGCCTGGGTACCTAACTTGGGCGGCACGGTGGCTGAGTGGGTAGCACTCTCGGTTCCCAGCAAGAAGGTCCTGGGTTTGAATCCCGGTTGGAGCAGGGCCTTTCTGAGAGGAGTTTGCATGTTCTCCCCGTGTCTGCGTAGGTTTCCTCCAGGTACTCCAGTAACCCCTACCACTAAAAACATGTACAATAGGTCTGGCATGCGCCTCCTGTACTGGCGACCTCTCTCCCATCTCTGTGTGGAGTGAGAGGACAAATGCCCAAAAATAATAACTGTAAACCGCTTTGTGACTCTGGTCTGTGAAAGACGGTAAATAAATAAAGATTACTCACTTACTTATTTACTAACCTTTCCCCATATATAATACATGTTTGTCTTAAAATAGGGAATAAAAGTAAAAATTTTAAGAAAGAGCCCAATGAGTCACTATTTGAAATCCTTTTCACTTTCGTGTATGAAAAAGATGGTCTAAAAATGTGACAGAGGCCAAAAATACATGCATGTGCAAACTACTACAGTGCTGGAATCTGTTTTGAGAGCGAGGTACTAGTTACTTTTTACTTTTACTTATGGTATGAAAATACCCCAGCTTTAATATGACTTGGAATTTAACATTCTACGCAAAACAAATACAACTCCATGGAGAAAACCTGCACAGACCCAACAGCGACACAAGAGATATTCTGTATATTTCCATCTCTATATTTCTAAGAATGATATTGTTCTGCAGTTCATGGGGAGATGGTTTGAGATTGCCAGACTGCCAGCTCAGTTTGAGAAAGGACGCTGCATCGAGACCAATTTCACCATGAAGTCCGACAGTTCCATTCGAGTGGTCAGCTCTGAAATCTTGTGAGAACCTTATATTTAGCTCCTATACATGTTTGACCTTTCCATTGTGTTTGATATGACATGTGTCTTTGATCCGCGATAGCAAAGGGGAAATCAAGAGAATCGAAGGCACTGGTGTGACTGAGGACATGAAGCATCCTGCTAAACTGGGCATAAGTTATTCTTACGGTGAGTGCCTCTGATTGGTCAATCCTTAAATGGCTCATACATGGATCTAAAAAGACAATATTAAAGTATAAATACCAAGATCATAGAGAGAGCCAAACCACAGATGATTAAACCCAAGGCACAAACGGTTACTGAGAGTGAGTTGGAGCAAAATTTCATACATGAGCTCTTCCCTTTTGGCTTCAATGAGGGTTAGCATTGTCCATCTACAGTCTGTGGATGAGAGCTGTGTTTGGTGCAGCCTTTTGTGGTCAGGCATTTTTCCCAATCAAAATGTTATATTTTTTCAAGATTGAATTACAGCATCATGAGATCATTTCATATACATTTTTTCAAGTGTCTGCTTCTTTTAAAAATTGTGCTTTTGTATGTGCTTTGGACTGTTCCACTCTATTGCATTAAACCTATTACCGATCTATAAAAAGCTTGCTTGAAAAACCTTCGCTCAGTCTTCTCCACAGTCGGATCAGTCATTGAACCTGAGATCACAATTAAAGCTGGGATACCTAACTTTCAATCATAGAAAATTAAACCAGTTAAGAGTTTTTTACTTTTAAATTCGTTTTCATGCATTTATATTTGCCCTCTTTTTTTTAGACATGATCAGGGAAAAAGAGAGGACCACCATGACACAGCCAATCTCAGCCCGAAGAGTCAATTAGTGACTCACAGGGCACTTTCTTACAAGTTTGCAAAATATATATTCTCTGATAAGATAAAGACAGAATGTTATGGCCTGATTTGTTCACAACATGTTTATAAGACTCTTTCTGTCAGGACAAACAAAATGTATAGTTCATGGGGGATGAGGTGCCCAGCTTTAATTTCAGTATCAATATATTTCAGTATAATATGGAAACAAGACATAAATTAGACCATTTGTTGAATTTAGTTTACTATTGTTTCTTTGGTCAACAAAAAAAGCAAAAACAATTTAACAGCATAACTTTAAAGACCAAACGTTTAGGCTGAAGTTGACCAAATCAGTCTTACAATACATCAAACTCAAAAAGAAGTATGCACAACATATTCCAAAATAGTTAGACTGTATACACAATGAATTCATTCAAATCGATTTATTTTTGAACAGCCCAAAATCATAACAGCACTTGTCTCTGATGACCAAAGTTTTCAATTCCTCAACAATAGATCAGAGAATCAAACAGTTAGAATATATAGGAAATCCAATAAGAAATAAGAGGACAACAAAAAACAGTAAAACATTACAACTGTGCAACTATTCTCATTGTAGATAAACTGCCTACACTAAAGGGATGACCTGAGACCAAACTCCACCGACCTAAGTATTTTCTCTGGGCAGAATTCAGTTAGTAATGATCCCTCTGTTGCAGTGCTGCCCTACACTCCGTACTGGATCGTCTCCACTGACTACGTGAACACGGCGCTGGTGTACTCATGCACGGACGTCCTGCGGCTCTTCCACGTGGACTTTGCGTGGGTCCTGAGCCGGAGCCGCACTCTGCCCGAGGCCACGGTGCAAAAAGCCCGAGAGACCTTCGAAAACAACAACATCGACACCACGCGCATGATCATGAGCAAACAGCAGGGGTGCGACAAGGAGCTGTGAGGGGACAATGACGGGAGCGCACCACCGGGGGGCGCAATAAGGCAGACGCGGATGAGAATGGAAACATATGTAAATGTGTTTAGTTTGTTCAGTCCAGGACAGTTTCACGAGTACATTTTAAAGTCACATTATACGAGCAGATACATGTCTTTCTTCAACGGATACAATAAATCAATCAATAAATAAGCCAAGATTGTACTGATTGCACATGATTGTAATGATTATATGCATTAATGTATTTGTTCAGAAACATAGTATCGAACAGACAAAATGTGTATCCCTGAAATTTTACAAGATATAGAAGACTACTTATTTTTGAATTTGAATACTTCATTCTGAGCCATACAACAAAATAACCTTATGCGCCATACAGAAACACTGTACCCACACAAATGAGAAACAAAGAATAAAGAATAAATAGACAAACAAAAAAAGGTACAGGGAGAATCTGTACAGCATATATTAAATCGAAAATCAATAACATAAATAAATATTATGAAAAATATCTAAGACAAGTGGGGGGCGATTATGGGAAGCCAGGTCGCTGTATTGAAAGTGTTCTGGATTCAGGGTTAGCTTATCAAGCTTATTTGGAGCTCCGACTGTTGGGCGAATAAAGGATCTCTTTATCTTATGCAAGTCTTCTACTTTGGCACCTAAAGGTTAACTAATGGGGGTGGGGGAACACCTATAACCACTAGTTTTTTACAAACCTAATGGAAAAATATGTATAAATCATAGACTGTAAATATTGCAGATATACATAGCTATATATATTTTTTAAACATATAATTTGGAACTTGTATCTTTCAAGTATTGTTTCCCGTCGGAAACAGTTGGATGTTACGCCGCCTTGACATTTAGCTCATGCTCTAGCTCTCGCTGTCAGTTCTCTGATCCATACCAAACCTTATCTATTGAACTTTACCTGGGAAACTCCAGCCCAGTTTTTCAGCCATGAAACCAGCAGTAGACGAAATGTTTCCCGAAGGCGCAGGACCATATGTGGATCTGGACGAGGTTTGTTGGCTAATATTAGCATTTGGCTAACATGCTCACAACAAAAACATCACGGCTGTCATTTTAATCATTTGCCGTACACGTATTTGTTTTTCAAAACAAATCGATTATTCACAAGAAAAAAATGTATGGACATAAGGCATTATCTATTTAGAGCTGGGGTACATTACTGATTTATCTCATGAATATTAGTTTGTCCCGACCTGAAGAGTAAGATGTGATTGTGAACAAATGGACCGCAACATGTGGTCTTCGTCTTATTAGAAAACATGTTATATTTTGTATACTTATAAGAAAGCACATGCATACGAAAACTGCTTACACATCCACCAGGGGTTTATTACATTGAGAAAGGGGTTTTGGTCTCATAAGTTCAGCCCATCACAACATGTATGTTTGCTCTGCTGCAGGCTGGGGGAAGCACAGGACTTCTCATGGACTTGTCCGCCAACGAAAAAGCAGTGCATGCAGACTTCTTCAACGGTAACAATCACTCCACCACCCAAAGCCTTTCTGAGGGGAACAAACATGTGGGGCTATTGCAAATATTATTTAGTCTATGGTAATATCTGCTTTCAGATTACTGTCATGCATTTATGCTGTTTTGGACTAAAATTGTCGTGCAATTTAGGATATACGCTTAAACAAGAGAAACTCAAAATGTATACTTTATTGAATCTCACATGTTTACATTTTAAAATAGGACATTCAAGTCAATTCAGTCACTCTTTTTTTTTATTCATTCATTCATTTTCAACCCCTTTATTAGTCAATTTCTGAGTCGGGGGTGGCAATAAGAGCTGCCACTCACAGCTCAAGTCGCTCGCTGATCCTCTGCAGGTGGTGGGTCCACAGGAAGATGGCTGCTACATCAGTGGTGCCACAGCCTTGATGTTTCAGCGGGAGCTTCAGGCAATGTGGGGTTAAATGTCTTGCCCAAGGATACAACGACAGCAGACATTAGTGGGAGCAATTGGAGTAGGTCCCGCGATGGGCTTTTTTTGTTTTGCCACTGAGTCATTCTATCTATGCCAAATATGAATTTCTCCAGTGTGAGATCAATAAAGTCTTTCCTATCTTATCTTAGTACCATAATTATTAATAGCTGAATATTTAAGTACATGTTTTCCAAAAATGTATTTTATGCTTTAAGATTTAAGTTCTGTGAATGCAGTTTAGGCTAGTTATGTGATTGTTTTCAATTCAATTACATTTCTATTTATAGTAGAGCAATAAATACAACAGTTCTAGTGGAGGACTTTACAAAGTTGTCGATTCACCAACAACAGAGAAATGCAATAGTAACAAACACATAGAAGCCACTGGTCCAAAGGGGGCAGGATGACCAATGCCCGTAAATGTTAATAAATCCTGTTGGCAAGCAACAACTCAAAACCCAGTGGGGAAAAGTGAGAAAACCTCAGGGAGGTTCACATTGAGAGGTGCATTTGCTCCCACGGATGGACAGGCTAGGACCAGACTCGGGCTGGATCGCTGGATGATTTTACAGTGTCAATCTTTTATCAACCAAGTATTTCTTGGGTCTATTGGTGTCTATATAGAATAGAATACAAAAAGTAATCCAAAAGCTAATTTTTTCCCAGAAAACTAGTATTCTATTTTTCCAGATTTTCAAGCTGACTTCAAAATATTGTTCTGCTGCTTGTAATAATTTCCCAAGGTCCTTGGTACAACTTCATGTAAAATGTATCTGCCTCTCTGTTTGGAATTGGCTTCTAGAAGTATTGATCTATTTATTTATTTGATTATGATTAGTGCTCACCCAAACTTCATCAAATAACAAGACCACATACTGGTTTTGAATAAGACAAGACAAAGAATAAGAAAAAATAACACACTATTTCACATATTAGAATATTAAGAACTGACATATTTTCAATTTGAAATGTAATGGCAAGATTCCAGGCATCAGTAAATTCTGTCTTTGAAAAAAACAAAAGTAGGGTTGAAATTGTGTCAATCTGGCATTTTTTTCTTTTGAATATCAGTCTTTGTTTGGATCAGTCCAGTGTTTCCCACACATAGACTTATCTGTGGCGCACCGCCACAGATTAGAGACCGCCCGCCACAAATTGCGTTTCGTATTGTTATATATATATATTTTTTGTTACGCTATTTAAAACATGCATCGTCTAGTGCCGCCGCAGCGGTCAATTTGACAGCGGGGAGGGGGGTTTAAAATGTGGCGGCCCTTCGTAACTCTCACTCAAGCTACGCGTCTCTCCCACATACAGAGACCTACACACACACAGCCCCTCCCCTTCGTGCACACCGCGTGTCTCCGTCTCCATCAGCGATCATCGCTGTAAGCAGCTGTGTCTATTAATTTTGGTGCAGAGAAGACGGCTGGTGAAGTTCACTAAAGGTTGGTATCCCGTGATCTCGTAAATCACACATTAAAAAGTGCTGAATGTTCAGTGTCAATGTCGAATTTCCGTCCCGACTCCCTTAACAAGCGATGACGCTTTCTTTATAAAGTTAAAATCAGGTGCTCTGATAAAACATGCAAACTTTGCAACAAGTAGGTTTATACAGCGTTAACAGTATTTATAGTGTAATATAGTGTTTATACAGGGTGTGAATAATGTTATTTTTTGCAACAAGTAGGTTTATACAACGTTAACAGTATTTATAGTGTAATATACAGCGTGTGAATAATGTTTGATATTTTGATCAGTCCAATAAAGCTGTATTTGACCAATTAACGATGTCCCGCCGACGACCACCACACATTGCCTTCAAACCTGTGGGAAACACTGCAGTCTGATGAATTTGGGAATAAATTATTGACTCGCAGTCTTTATAAAGGCTGTTTGATCATTGATATTATTATTGTTTACAACAACAATTTATTCTTGTATTGCCCTAAATCACAACAGCATTCATCTCAGAGGACTTAACAAAACCACTGAAATCACTAACACAGATAAATCAACAGTTAAGACACAAAATATACACATATGAATTGCTCCATAGGGAGAGGATAGCACAAGGGTTAAAAATTGTTCTATCCCAGAAGGCTCGCTGCAGATGAATTAGGCTAAAACAAGCTTCAGTAAGGATGTATTTTTCCTAATTTTGATACAGGTTGATTTCTATCATCTAATGGAAAATGCAAGTCCAGTCTTGTCTAGCATAGTTGTAAGCACAGAGTATTAATGAGTTTTCTTGACATTCAATTTCAGCAGTAAAAATATTCTCAAACAAGTCAATAAAAACTTCAAACACGTTTTCAGGTTTCCCTCAAATTTTACCTTTAACTTTAATTTTCACGTCTTTGAACATGAATCCGAGCTACTTAACAGAGATGGCAATGGTCATCTGAAAAGTCTCAGATTGCTCTTTAAAACCATCCAAAAAAATAGTTTAAACCTCGTGTTAAATTCCAGTTCCTTATCAACCGCTCTGCTCTTCGTTGTTTAATCCTCACAATAATCCATTAGCTTTGATGAAATACTGGTTTCTCCGACTTTGATCTTTACATTTCGCTGTAATGGCACTAATGCTCCTCCTGTGCTCCACACCACATTGAATCTATTAGCCCGTCGTATCAGTCGTCCGCTTGGCGTCACCTCTCTGCTGCTCTCGCGACGGGGCCCCACGTTTACAGGCCCCAGAACATTCCTCCTTTTTACAAACTTTGTTCTAATGTAGTGTGATGTCTGTCCTGCGGCGCTCCACATCAAACAGCCTTTAGTGTTCCACATGCGGCACACTTTTCCCTGTTCTCTCAGCAGGATCCTCCATGTGATCCCCAGAAACTCTTGTTGCGCTCAGGACATGTGTGTGTGAAGGCCCGGACGTGTGCAAGGGTCGTTACTGTGCACTAGGGCTGCTAGTCTTTGGACGTTTAGGCAATTCATCGGTCGGTGGAGTCCTCCTTGGCCACAATATTAAGCATCCATATTTATTGTATATAAGTAAACAGAGAAAACAAATATGTGGAACAAATTAAGCCT